GAGCCTGTCTCAAAATAAAAAATAAGGAAAGGGCTGGGGATGTAGCTCAGCGCAGAGGCCCTAGGAACCAGGCATTGTTCGCTTTCTCCCATGTGATGATGTAGCTCAAAGGTGGCATCTATAAACCAGAAAATGGACACTCACCCAACCCTTGATTTGTTGGTGTCTTGATCCTGGATTTCCCAGCTTCCAAACTTTCTCTAAAAAATAAATTTCTTTGTTTAGTTTGTTCTTTTAGCAGGCTGAGCAGACTAAGACAGAAGCCACACCCAGACTTTCCTAGGTGGGCAAAGGAAGGAAACCTCCAAGTTGGGAAAAGCTTCTCTTGTAGACTTGTGCTTTTCAAACTAATATGCCCATGAGTCACCTGGGATCTTGTTAAACTGAAATTTCTGTCTAGTGCATCTGGGCTAGGATTGCATTTCTAACAAGCATCCAGGGTGCATTGTTGTTCTTGGTCTGAGAAGCATCTCTTTGAGTTGTATAGGTTTACAATAGCAAGGCTCAAATATGAGTTTGCAAAAGTACCACCTGGGAAGCTCATTAAAAACTGGGTTCCTGTTCAACATCCCTGGACACTGAATCACTAGGTCTGACCATGTCATTTGCCTCTGAATAATTCCCAGGTGTTTCTGATGTCATTGGTCACTGGAATACTTTAAATAGCAGATCTCTAGTTAACTTTAAAGCAGACTTGATGTAGATGCCTCCAGTACATCTTCTGCCAGTAGCCTCATCTTTAAAAGCAGAGCCAAATACCAGAAGATTAAGGAGGATACTGCCAAGTCATCTGTTTGGAGAAAATTACATGGCAAATTCCGAGAGTGCCACAGAGTCTGTTCTTATTTGCCTTGACAATATGCTTTGGCCAAAGACTAACAGGAATGAATCTAGGGGAAAAAATCTGCAGATAAAATTGAGATGAAACAAGAATTGTGCCTGAAGTGGAGCTAAGTAAATAATAATGAGAATAGTTATCCAACTTGAAAGGATAAACTATTTGTACATAGATAAAGGCTAGAAGAACAAAGAGCAAAATGTTTATATAAATAATGAGATTTCAGGTGGTGTTCACATTTTTGCTGTATTTAGTTCTTCCTTTACATTTTTCTACAAAGCACATTTAAGTATTATTTCCATTACCAAGAAGAAAGAAACCTAAGTAATGATTTTACAGTAAAAAAAAGTGAGCTTTAAAAAAGTGAGCTTTAACTCTGGCTTGGTTTTGTTATATGTATATTTCTCCTATTCTTTTCATGGGATTCTTTAGAGCTGTGACAGTTCTCTTGTTCTGACAGCAAAGAGGATAGGTAAGGGCAAGGCCTAGGCAACTGCCTGCCTGGGAAAACAAATTTAAGGAGTCTCAGAGGAGAGCTTTAAAGTTCCCATGAATTAGAGTCTGCTCCTATCCCTTCCCCTCTTCCAAATTGACTCCACCTCACATACGCCCTTTAAAATCTCTGAAAGGATCCCCCGTGTATTCTTAGAACAGTTGAAATAAGGATTAAACTAATGCAGAAAAAGTTGGAAAACAAAAGTGAGAGAAAAAGAAGAGTATAGCTCAGTGGTAATGCACATACTTAGCATGCAGAAGGCCTTGGGTCCATTGCAAGGAAGGAAGGAGGGGAGGGAGGGAGAGAAGGAATGGGAGAGAAAGGCAAAAAGGAAGGAGAAGGGAAGGGAAGAAGGAGGAAGGATGGGAGGGAGGAAAGAAAGAAAGAGAAAAGAAAAAAGAGTAATAATTACAGCCAGCTGGGGAAGAAGGAAGCCATGCCATGCCCATCTGGAAGGGAGATTGGACTCCCTGCCTGGTGTTCACCTGTCTCCCAGGGTGCTTGCATCCACTCAAGAGTGCTGGACCAGAAGGAAGATGTCTTGTGTAGCGAGAATCATCTCAAGAGCCTGACTGCATTGCGTCAATGTACATGTTCAAAGGGCTTGAAGTTGTGCCTCCTGGGCCTTAAAGTAGGTGATAATCATACCTACTTATTTTCAGGATTAAAAAAAAAAACATATCTGAGTTATCACCTTTTTGGTTCAGCTAATCCGATCACAGAAGTTGATAGGCACCTTGATCACTGCCAGTGAAACATTTTAAGGAAATTCCAGGACTCTACTGACACCTGCTGGCACTTTATCTATCTTATTTTTTAAAAGAACAACAAAACAAGACAAAGAAACATTAACATTTTCCTAAAATCCTTTGGCTTTATTATGCTAAGTGTACTTGACCTGAACAACAAGAGAGAAAAAAGAAAGGTCTGAAGCCCTCTTTTTCATGTTGTAAGAGGGAGAAATGTGGACAAGCCACTGGGTGAAAGTATCCCCAACGGAAAACATAAAGAGTTTATTAGCCCAGCAGTTCTTCACTCTGCCTTGCACCTTTACCTTGGTAAAGACCTTTGACCTTGGTTTCATCATCCTGAAGAGAAAGAAGCAGCAACTTCCCCTCCCCTGCCCTGTACTGCCTCTGAGGACTTGTGGCATTTGCTACTAACTAAAGCCTGGGCCCTGTCCCTGGAGCGAGGACCTCACAGGTCTGTTGTAATAAACAAGATTCTTCCCCAGAGTTACATTTTCAAAAGGTAGATGAACGTTATTTAAACCTTGTCAAAGTCCACCATCTCTGGAATTTATTTCTAGAAACTTCTCAATAAGTGAACCTTCCCACTGAATTGTCAGGTTTTTTGCCCTAGGAAACGATGGATTTTGTTTTGTGTTTTAGAATATGTCAAAAACCTTCAGGTTGAGAAAATACTTCTGTGTTAATGGCAACCAAATTATTTGTGCTTTTTTGGTCTGCTCTTGGGAAACTTGTGTGGGCCTGTGGTTTCTTAGGCCAATAACAGGATATTTTATAATCTACAGGGAGTTGTTGTCCATATTTAGTTTGACAGAGGAAGAGAGGTCTGCAGATGAAAAATAAGCAATGAATGCTTATTTTGAATGCTACTATTTTGTTTCTTCCTCCTCCCTCAGAATCCCGACTTCACCATCATGTTTGCTGAGGCTTTTGATGCTATTTACAGTTCTCATAAAATGGCCTTTGATAGTTGCAAAATGAAATTTACTTCTTTGAGCTTCATGGTCTTCCCTTAGAAAGCTGTTAGGAATGACTGACGCATAGAGTTGGTAACAACCAAGTCATACCCACCAGAACGGCTCCTATCAACAAACACAGAAAACAGCAAGTGTTGGTGAGCATATGGAAAAATTAGAAACCTCTTACACTGTTGTTGCAAATATAAAGTGGCACAACTGATGTAAAAACAGAATGGTGGTTCCACAAAAAGTTAGAAATAGAATTACCATATGATTCTGCAATTCCATTTTAAATTATGTATCCAAAAGAATTTGAAACAGGAACTAGGGATTATTTATATATCAATGTTTATAGCATCATCACTCATAATAGCATCAATTACTTCAGAGAGTAGAAGCAGCCAAAATTTTCATTTTAAGAAGAATGGATGAACAAAATGTAGAATATACATACAATGGAATATTATTCAGCCTTTAACAGGAAAGGAATTCTGAAACATGCTAAAACATAGGTGAATCTCGAGGACAGTGTACTAAGAGAAATAAGCCAGTTGCAGAATGATTCTCCTCATTTCAGGTATTTAGAGTTCAAAATCCTAGTTCAGAACATGGAATGGTGATTACCAAAGGCTGAGGGGAGAGAGAAATGGGGAGATTCTTTTTAATGGTACAAAGTTTTAGATTTGCAAGATGAAAATAGCTGTGGAGATGGATGGTGGTAATGATTTTACAACAAGCTGAATGTACTTAATGCCACTAGACTGCTGATTTAAAAATGGTTGAGATGGTAAATTTAGTGTTAAATGTACTTTACCAATATTAAAAGAAAGCAAAGGCAAACACTCACAGTTCATTTGTCACCTTGTAAGCATTAGATTGCTTGACTATGTTAAGTCCGGTAATATTGCACAGCACTATATTCTGTGATGATGAAAACTTTTGTGATGATGGAAGTACTTCTTATTTCACTCTCCAGTATGATAGTTGCCAGCCCCATGCTGACTTTTGAGCACTTGATATGTGACTACTACAACTAACACACTGAAGTTTTTATTTACACAATTTAATTACCTATATATGAACAGTGTTAATACCGAAGTATTTTCCCTTTCTCAGCATTGAGCCAGAAACCTAAGCAGTCAGGCTATAAATCTAAGAAGATAAGGAATCAGCTTGTGTGTGGTCACAGTTCTGTTTGCAACAAACCATTTTACCAAGAGTGTGTTCTCTTATGGCATTCATTGGCACTGGTAAATGCATCCAAGAGCAGAATTGGCCTTGGTCCATGGGTTAGCCTTTTCTAGTAAAATGTCCTTTTACTATCATGCTCAATCATCCTTCACTTTTCCTTGTAAATCCATGGAGTGATGGCATGAGCTCCTGAGGTCCAAGTCCTTATGCAGAAATTATCTGAACACATCACTGCTTGCTCTGGGTACCCTGGAGATCAAGGAATCTTTCACTTTTTAAGGCTTTACTAGAAATCACAGACAGGTGAAATATATAAAAAACCCAGATGGAAAGAATCACACAGTACAATTGAAGAATCCATTATGCATTCATCCTCTAAAATGGGAATGGATAGGCTGTATCATCATGCATTGTATAATGTTGCTAAGAAGGAATTGGAGATTGCCAGTAATTGAAACAGGGCTTATATTTAAACCAGCTGCAAATAGAAGGCTTAACAAGTCGATCAGTGGACAGCATTCCTTTGTGGCAACCTAGTATTTTATGGTACTATACATGCCACATTTATCTTCATGGAAAGGATGAAAGCTGTTTATTAAAGTATAAAATATGAGAATGCATAAAGTGGATGGCTGTGTGGCAGGAAGGAGATAAAAAAAGAGTTAATATTTTCATTACACAAAATGGATACAGGCTGTCTAATAAAAATCACCATATTTGGCTACAGCATACTGGTTCACTGAGAACATTTTTTCTTCCTCTTTCAGCAATGGGTAGAAGGCCTGAGATCGATCATACACAACTTCAGGGCCAACAACGTCAGTCCAATGACATGCCTCAAGAAACAGTGAGTTTTGTTTGTGTCACCTTTTGTTCTTGGGAACTGTCAAGCGCATGGTCAAGTGAGGAGATGGATGCTCCATGTATAGTTGGCCAATACCTGGCTACGTTTCCTCTCACACCCCTAACCCTGGAGAATGAGTTCACCAGCACATACCTGCATTCTTTACACCATCTAAGCATGCATAATGTCAAGGGCTACAGCTAGAACCCATGTGAGACAAGAGGGCAATGGCTAAAAGCTACCACTCTTAGTTACTCAGTATCCTGCGGTCTGTGAACACTGGCTTTTGTGTCCCCAAACTGAGTCTTCTGAGAGGTAGCTCTGCAGACTTAGGACAAATAGCTGGGTGCTGGGGTATCTCTAGCCTGTCCTACATGAAAGTGAAAAATGGGGAGTCAAGAGAAGCACTCAGCAGGGACTTAAGAGTGGACTGAGGATCCCAATTTAGCCACATCAGACGAATTCTCAGCCTCTCTGTCCCCATTTGTGAATGAAAATTATCATGTAGCTAAAACAGGAAAGCACCTCACGGGTCCTCAGAAAAAAAGCTAGCTGCTGTCGCATCATGACTCCCACTTCACTTTATGAAATACCAGTTATTTTAATTTTAAAGTGTCCCTCTGATTTTCTCACCATCCTTTTTGGGAAGGAAAGTTATTTAGGCTTGTAAATTCCTGCTTGTTGTGGAGCTGCTTTGACTTTTCCTCAGCAATTGCTGTGGCATAATTTGTGAAAGAGGAACCTATTGGGTGTTTTCAATGTTAAGACTTCAGGCACCGAAAGTCCCAGAGAATCAAAGACTTTTACAAGGCTCGGTTATACTTGCATGACCCAAACATCCATATTCAGACTCCAGATCTTATGGCGCCCTGTCCAGGTCCCTCTGTGGAGCTCCCATTCACTCAACCACCTGCTGCTCACCAGGGGCTCAGCTCTGTCCATTTCTCCAGAGAACTGCCATCTGTGGAATGGGAAAGGATATGCCTCTCTCCTCCATGGGGAAATCCCACAGCAAATGACAGGCTGAAATGGTTCAGAAGGCCAGTGCCCTGTCATACAAGACAACGTTAAAGCTTTAGCTGAGATCACAAGCTTGCTTAACCATTTTCCCTGCCCTCTGTACTCCTTTCACTCACTTTGTCCCCTAAACATACTTGTAAGTAGTCACTTTTTCTTCTAGGAAACTTGACTTAAGACAGAAACTCTACTAACTCATCATGTTTTCCAAATTGTTAGATTGTTACTGGCTGTTACTGGCTGGAAACGTTGAGCATGAGACTAATTGGCTAAGAACTCCAAAGTACAATGAATGTTCTTTGAGCTCATGTGTCCTGAAAGCCCCAGGAAAGCAGAGTTACCCAATGGCTTTCTCTTACCATTAGAGGTTAAGGAAGGTGCCCCTTTGGTCTACACAGTAGCACTGAGAGCTGGGAGGGCTGAGTGCTCATGGGTCCTTAGGAGATGGCTGGCTGATGTTGTACAACTGCATTTGCTGTCACCTTAGTATGTTAATAAATAGGAATAATCAAGGCAAGGGCCCATTTTTAATTCATCTAGAATCGACAGATAAAATATAAGACTTTCAGTTTAGTTTGAATTTCAGAGAAGTAACAGATGATATTTTATTATATGTTCTAAATATTTACATAGAGCATTTTTGTACAAAAATATTATGGTACTATTTTGAAATTCACCTTAAACAGAGAGTCCTGTATTTTTATTTGCTAAATCTGATAGCTCTGAATTCATTCCAAACCACATCATTGTCTCTGATTTTTAGAATAGATGTTTGTTTGAATAAACTTTCTTTTAAAGATGCTCTTCCGAAGATATTAAAACAACATTGTTGCTGTTGTTTTCCAGCTGGATGAAATTGGCATTTATGACCAACCCCAGTAGTAAAATTCCAGTTAGGAGGTAAGTCAGCCAATGTTGGCCACTCACCATGCCCTGAATCAACCTTCATTATTCCAAACCAAAGACAGGGGCCTCTATAAGTATTGTTTGATAATTGCCTTTAAAATATTTCTGGAAGCTTAGTTTGACTCTCTTGGTCAAATGCTGTGTTTGGCTTGTAAAAATCATGTATAGAAGTTAAATTTTGCCTCTGATCAGGTAACATTCACTCTGATAATATCTGAAAAAGTAGGGTTTTAAAAAAGATTTTTCAAAAAATGGGTTTTTTAAGATTTAAATTTCTCTTGCTGATTTACCTGAGCAGCCACCAGCTAAAATTTCAGACAATGCCACTGTGCATTGACGTGGCATTGTGGGGAATGTCCTCGGAAGGGGGCTGTCCCTGGATTATGCCTTCTGATCATGGCTTTGCTGGGCATCTGAAGCTCAGGGCAGGTAGTGCTGTCTCAGTTTGGGTACTGAGGCAAAGTACTGCAGACTGGATGGCTTAGAAACAACAAAAGTTTATTGTCTCTGATTTGGAGGCTGGAAATCCCAGATCCAAGCATGGCTTATTCTGCTGAGGGCCTTCTTCCAAGATACAGACTGCTTTCTCTGGCTGTACTCTCACATTGCAGAAAGACGGGTGGAAAGCTTTTTGAGGCCCATTTTGTAAAGGCACTAATTCCATTCATGAGAGCTCCGCTCCCATGCCTAACCCCTCAAAGGTCTCACCCCCTAATACCATCCCATAAGGATTAGGTTAGGATTTCAACACCACACATCCTTCAGAGCTGCTGCTTCTTCCCTCACCTTGGCAAGTTACCAGTGACCAAAAAGGGGGAAAAAAAAAGCAGCAAGGTTCAGGTGGAGTCAAAAAAAGAAGAGGCTGGGCCGGGGATTTAGCTCAGTGGTTCTGGCGCCTGCCTTGCAAGCGCAAGGTCCCGAGTTCGATCCCGATACCAAAAAAAAAAAAAGAAGAAGAGGCCATGAGCCAGATACATCCTCCACATATGTTATTCAAAATTCAACAGCTGGCCTACCACATTTTACTCTGAGGGTTTCCCATGCCTCCCTCTTTTCTGATTCACAATTTCCTTCCAAGACTTAGTTAGGGTTTCCTAATGGTCTGTGTATAATAGTTGGAAGGTCTTGTTATAGTAGCACTGGGATTCCTTTGCCAAACTCTCCAGGATCATTTTGTGTGGTGTTTGTTTAAGCATTTGTGGAAATCCCAGATGCTGGGCTGGGCCCTCGAGCCTCAGCTGACCACATGCAAACAGGAGGGTATTGGATTCATGAACCTAAGCACCCAGCATCAATTAAACAGGGGCTTCCAGATACCAACCCACTCTTCCGGGATTCTCCAGAATTGGGTTCATGCTGATGCCATGTTCTCTGGACATCACTTAAACAAAGAAGCAAACTGACACAGCCTAGAGCCACTGGTAGAATCCTGTCTTGGAAGTGATCCATCAAGGTCACCAAGTGCAGAGCATTTAAGCAGACACAGCAGAGCAGTGGCATGCCGGTCCCCTTTGACACTTCCAGCTTCTTTTCCTGTCTCCTGCCTAGCAGCTTCCTTCTGTTCTGAAACTTCCATCTTGCTTTCCCTGTGTCCCTGGGTCCCTGGACACCACTCTTGCCACATTGAACAGAATTTTTCTAGAATCATTTGTCTTAATTCTATAAGTTATAAGAATCATGAACTTAAGTATGCATGTGGCATGACTGAAATAATTATGAGAAAAGAGAAAATATAAAAATCATGAAAAAGAGCCCTTTTATGCAGTGTTCTTTTTATTAAACCTTGTGTGAGAACTTACCAGGCCACATACACAATATGTTAGTTGTAGTCTTTACTAATCCATACATAGCATTCTCCAATTTCTTATTTAATAACTTACTAGCAAGTCAATTGTATGTCTAATTTAGAAGTTTAAAAAGAGCCCTGTTAACACCCTTGCCTGATGGTTGTTGGCAAAGAGACTTTGTACTTTAAAACTCTTTGTTCAGTTATCACTAACAGGGAAATTATTTTAATACATCACAACATCCTACATCTATTGCTGTACATAAAGCATTTTTATTTAAAATCAAATTGAAGTAATAAGTCCAAATTTTAGAGAGTACAGATAGCAATATGATGAACAGAAATATAAGTTGGATCTGTTCATCATATCTTACTATCCTACCTTTACTGCCAAGATAAGGTTCAGGAAATAGACAAAATAGAAACACATAGATTGTGTCCAAAGCACTTCTAAGGAGCAGGTCTGATTTCATTTGTATGCATCCTAACAATAAAGCCATAGATATACAACCTTGGAAGCCTCTTCTGATTGTATCAGTCTTTGTCTATCATGTTCACATACAAAACTGTTACCCTCTTTTTGATAGAAATAGCCTAGATATTTTGGCATGTTCTTTAGCTCTCTTTGACCTGCACTCTGGTATTTGGCAGTATTTACAGGTGTCTGACATAAGGCATCTGTGACTTGTGGCAGTTTGTGAAGAGCTAATGGAGAGTTGATACCAAGCCAATAGAAAGTAGATAACTCTCCTGGTAGAGGAGCTGCCAAGGGTGAGGTGAAAATTGTTCTGAATGTTTTAATGAAGAGTAAACACTTTTAAAATGTCCTTTCATCACTATCATTGTGGGGTTTTAAAAATGGAAGCTCTTAATATAGTGTACATCATGTTAAAAGGGATCTTATTTCATAATCATGACGTAGCTTGGGGAATAGGCCCTGCTTTTTAGCAGTAAACTGAAATGTAATGTCCAGGAAATAGTAGGAATGAGAAATGAGGGAAAGTCTCACTTCTTATTTTCTGCTTTCCTTTTTTATGTTGTGATCAAAAAGTAAGGTGAATGTTTATTTATTTTTTAGACTTTTACAGTAAAAGACACATTGGTGTGAATCACACTCAAAACACTCCCTTGCAATTCAGACATAGTTACTGCATTCTTCTTTCCACTTCCTGAAGCAGTTTGGAACATACCCTTTTATGTCTATAAATTGTGATAAAAGATATAGTAAATGCTGCTACCCAGGGCCACCTAACAGAAAGGCAGGCTCATAAAAATATTATGATGTGTTCTCATCCACTTTATCCACTGGATCTGGCACCCTGCAACTTCTGTGTCTTCTTCAAAGTCAAAATGGCCATGAGAGGTAAACATTTTGAATTAATCCAGGACATCAAGGAGGCTAACATGAAAGAAGTCTTCAAGAACTACTTCAGAAAGTGTCAAGAATGATAGGAGAAATGTGTCTGAAGCAAAGGGGAATATTTTGAGGGGGATTCATGGCAATGTGTCTTTCATTGTAATAAACATTGTTCTTTTCAAACATTGACAATATTTTTTCATCGCATCCCATAAATAGTCGTAAAGCGGTCTGATTTTCTCTCAGAATTACAGACTCACCCTCAGGTTATTCTCCCACTCAGATCAAAGCTTTGAAAATATCCCCCTTTTTTTACTATCTCTCGTCTCTTGTAACTTGAGGTGGGATCCAATGGCTGGAGTTAGGTAATGGGGGAGCCCAATAGTGGCCATGGATAGTGTCTGCAGCAGACCCTGAAGGACACAGTAGTGTGAACCTAGGCCAGGAGCCTCATCCTGTGTAATTTGTCCATGTTCCAAAGGCCTGAAGGCCTGGCTGACCACAGGAGTATCTGATTCTGCAAGCAGTAACTCCGCAGTTTCTTTTCAATCTTCTGTGGCTTGTTACAAGATTAATCATTGGTTAAATAATGTTAAATATTGAAACCCCCCCAACACTTCCCCACCAAAAAAATCATGTGAAATTAAAGGGGCAGTTGAGGTAAGGAGTAGTGATAGGTGAATGATTAAGAAATGCTATGTGTGTGTACAGTTCTGCCAAAATGAGATTCATTAATTTATATAATCATAGGCACTAATAAAAATGTGGGGGAAAAGAAAGTAGTGTTAGAACCCTTGTATATACTGCAGTCCTTATGCAGGCAAGCAAAGAGTGGGACTCCCTTAGTTTCTAGGATCATTGCTCCCTTAGTCTCTTGAAAGGTCCCCTGGGATACAGAGTTTAACCAGAACTCTAGCAGGACTGGACACAACTGAAGAGCATTTGCTCTGGTAACATTCCTTTTGGGGAAGGGATGGTGGTTTATTTTGGTTCAACAAAGTCTCTTTGAGCTCGGGTTACCTGTGGTTTGAAACACTGAGACATACTCAGTGGGCATGGGGCTGCCTAAGGAGCTGAATACATCACCAGCCCTACTTCATAGATATAGTACAGTAGTTGTGTACAATGTCCTTAGACTGTGATAAGTGTGTTTCCCTAAGGACCTTGGTTAAAGGGCATCTTTCTGGAAATCTAAATAATTCACCTTCATGCCCCAGACCTCCCCTCCCCCTGCCCCACATTCCCAAGACTTAAGAATGATTCAGAAAGGTTCCTCAGATAAAGGAAACAGACAGAATGTAGAGAAATGGTCTACCTGACTTGTTCTCTTTTTCCATCCTGGGTGTGGACGGTCTCTTTTAGAATAAGGTAAGTAAATATGTGGTATGGTTGCCCAGCCCAAGCCCCTGCATGAAAAGATGGGGCTGAAAAGTGAGCCACCTTGTCTTTGATGTAACATGGAGCAATGAAACTTTGAATGAAATGTAATAACTCGTTTACCTAAAGCTACTTCCGATCTATATGGGGAAGTTGTACTCTGCAGTTAAAGTGGTACTTTCTCCCACTCATCAAGATTAACTGGCTGTCAGTGCTTACATTTGGAGCCTGCCTTCCATTTAACATGAATGGCACAATACATGAAAAGCCTGGGCATAAGATGCTGCTAAGAACCCACTGGTGCTCAGAAGACATTCCAAAGCCAAGCTTTACAGATGGAAGTAAGTGCCATCTTCAAGTCAAAGCTGGACCTCCAAATTTAATCTTCAAGTTCATGGTGACACATTACCTGGGCTTCCAATCAGGGAGTAAACAAAGGCTCGTTTGGTGGCTAAGGCACAGTTGAGAGCCAAATGCTGGGTTCTAGGGTACGAATACTCCCTCTGATATCTTTTATGCTAAGTGTCATCAATACATTTATAATGAAACTCTCTATATATCAACACCAGAAGATAGGCTTGTTAAAGTGTCATGTATTAGACTAGCCATGTTGCTCACTGTACCAGTTAAAAGGCCATTTGGAAATAGCATGCCTCAGGATATTACCAAGATTCTGTTAGATTACTGAATAATTATCCCCACCCCATGATAGTCAGCTTTCTGTTCTTGTTGCAAACTACGTGGGGATAACAATTTGGGAAGAAGGGGTTTATTTTGTCTCATGTTCAGAGTTTTCAGCCCTTGGTCAGCTGGCCCCGTTGTTGCTTGGCCTGTTGTGTGCAGCAGAAAGAATGTGATGGAAGGATGTTGCAAGGGAAAGCTGCTGAACTCACAGTGGCAGGAAGGAGAGACTCAGAGCTTGCACTAATGGACCTCCTTCTTCTTTGCTTTTGTTCCATCTAGACTCCCACCCAGGAGATAGGACCACTCGTGCTCAGGACAGGTCTTCCCACTCAGTATGCTGTTCTAGATGCCGATGGTTCTAGAAACACCCTCAGGACATACCCAGAATATGCTTTACCAATTCCCTAGGCATTTCTTAATCCAATCAACCAGACAATCAAGATTAACTGTCATATCCCCCAACCCATCACTTTCATAATGAAGTCTCTACTCCTTGAGGCAGCTGGTGTTAAACAGAGTGGCTCAAAAGTGCTTAGCATGGGGCTGGGAACTTAGCTCAGTGGTGCTACTGCCCGAATAGAAAGCACAAGGTCCCAAGTTCAATCCCTGGTACAAAAAAAAAAAAAAAAAAAAAGAATGCTTAGCATGAAGACAAAATCAAAATCTGTCTGATGACATGTCTCAACTGTAGTCAGCATGAAAACTAGGACAGCAGCCACCAGAGCCCAAGCTCTGGTCTCCAGCCTACTTCTTTCTCCAAGTCCAGATATTGTCAACCTGACATTTTCTTTTACAGTTACTGTAGTATCTGATACATTATGGTTTCCTAAGGAAATAATTTCTTAGGGCCAAATGCATCCATTTTTGCCCAACACAGTGTACCCTTCTGCCCCTTTATGTTCACCAACACCAAAGGGACAGCTTGTCTTAGAAGCAGGTTCATCGGTAAACAGAATCAGTACTGATAACCAGAAGGACATGGAAAGAGCTCATGTGGGCCATGAAGAGCCTCTACAAAGGAAAAGTAGTTTTACTCTCCTTTTTCTTTCCCCCAGTCCCACCATGCTTAGGAGTACTTGGATCTTTGCATCAAAGAAATCAGAATGAGCAGTAACTTGAATTTTTCTTTCTTTCTTTCTTTTTCTTTCTTGCCCTAGTATTACTAGAACGTTTGCATCGGGGAAAACAGAAAAAGTGATCTTTCAAGCGCTCAAGGAGTTAGGTCTTCCAAGTGGAAAGGTATTCATTGGCTGAATGTGTTTCTAAAACCGATTTATTTGTGCTCTCATGTATGATAAGCTGAATTATTTATATTATACTGATCTTAATTAGACTCAGAAGTAGATTCAACTATATAAAGTTAATTTTCTCTTCTCCATCTTCCCTCTCTCTGAGCAGTTTAACCCACGTGTTTAAAAATTCAATTAGTTTACTTCAAAATTATTTGTGTCAACTTTATTATGATAGCAAATAAAAGCCAGGCCATTCTTTGCACAGCTTATGGAACTTATTTTAGAGAAGGCCAGTCATATTGCCTTAACCATTCACATGTCAACATGAATAATTAACTAATAAATTCATTTATTTAAGGTGGCCTTGCAGTATTTTATGAAGCATTTCCTCAACCAATCATTTGTGTGCATGACTGTTCAGATTTAAATAATTAAAATTAATTTATGTGCTGGAAAAAATATTTGAGACGGTGACTTCTTTAACAAGTCCTATTTGAAATACACATTTTAGTATAACTCAGATCTTATATATTCATTCTAAGCTCCTTTCTTTAGTTTTTTGAAAGTTCATGAAATAAGCATAATTAAAAACTAGGCATGATTGATTCAGCATCCACTATACAAACACTTTCTTTCCCCACTCAAGGAGAAATGGGAAAAATGTCTCTCTATATTTGTTCTCTGGATGTTGCCTAGAGAAGCCCAGCTGTAGCCAGATGTTGTGATAACTAGAAGTGTTTGTTTACACATGCTGTGACAGAACAAGGTGGCCCAGAGATTGGCCTCCTGGTTTCCAGGGTTCCATAAAGACTTTGCTTTATGCCCTTGAGAAGTCTTACCTCCAAGGAAGAAAAAAGTTCTATGATTTTTGACACTCTTATTCTTTACAGAACGATGAAATTGAGCCTGCTGCATTTACTTACGAAAAGTTCTATGAACTTACACAAAAGATTTGTCCTCGGACAGATATAGAAGATCTTTTTAAAAAAATGTAAGTTCCAATTATGAGAAAGTGTTGTATAAATATTTCTCTTGTCCTTTTAGATATTTAAAACATCTACTTGCCATTACATTTTAATTCAATGTTGGTAGTAGTAGAAATATGTAGTCAGGGTTACATTTTCACTCCTTAAATTGATCGATGTAAAAGTTCACTCAGGTTTTAAGAGACTTTAACATAAATTAATTGTAGCACCTGGAACTTTCCCCCTGGCATTGGCTTTACTAACTACCTATAATTTTAACCTGCTCCTTTAGGTATTAACCCATTATGTGAACTAACTAGATTCAATTTGGAATGTTAATATGTTGTTGAAAAGTTCATTCATTCCAATTATTTCAAATGGATGACTTACATGTTGTTTTTTAAAAACATCTTTTGATAATGTTAAATAATTGCAGACATTTTTCTGTGACCTAGTGGGAGTGTTTTCTTTCCTTTGTCATTATTGTTGTTGGGCTTTTCTTCCTTACCAACAGTCTCTGTCCATTTAAGAATTCAGCACTGTTTTAAGATTAGAAAATAAGTTTAGAATTATCATCAACAAATGTCAACATGTAAATCGTACCTACTGTAGCATCATGTACAAAAACTTACTTTTTCTAATAAATTTCTTTTCAGCAATGGAGACAAAACTGATTATTTAACGGTAGACCAATTAGTGAGCTTTCTAAATGAAGTAAGCTTTTTCATACATTAACTCCATACAGTCTGTGTGCAGTGGCTCGCCTCCTTTTGCTTCCTCATTGCATGCTCGCATCCCACACCCTTATTCGCTTTGCTTCTCACCTGCTGATCTTTCCATGATGGCCTTACCAGGTACAAAAATCAGCTGCTCCCCCTGTGTCCATATGCTTCCTTCACGCTGGCTTTGCCCACGGCTTTTTGTTGGTTTTTCGCTATGATGTGTAGCTCTGGTTCTGTGTGTTTGTGTGATATTTATAATATATTTATTTAATTAAATGTGTCTATATTTTTGCAAGATGATATTTAAGGTATTCTTTTCTATCAATCTCAATAAATAGAGAATGGATTGAGTTTACCACACTGTAGTTGGGTTCTCCATTGCTAACTTTAACTCATACTTTTGCATGGACCAGAAAGCTTTATTTTTGTCTTTTAATTGATTGCATGTTAGAGAAATATGTAGGTTCAAATAGAATATTTCGACAACAAACACAACACTTGATTTCCTGGGTGAAAATATAATATCAGACCAATTGAATTGCAGGTTAAAATATTACTTTTTATTTTTATAACAAGCTTAGAGCTAATTTTAGAACATGATTCACTTAACAACCAAAACTGGCTGAAAAATTTCACTTAAGCACAAGAGAAAAATATTTTGGAAGGAGTAAAGGTTGCGATTTTTATTATAACTAAAATGAGCGTGTTCTTTTCCTTACACATACAAAAAATTATTTTCTTTTCAGCAAAACCTATCAAAGATCTTATTAATCCAAAAAGGAAAATTCACATTTTTTCCCAACAAATAAATAAGAAAATTTTGAGTGAGGGATGGACAATATATTTTTGTTTCAAAATAATTCAAGGTAATCATCATACCATAAAGAGAAAATATCATAATAGACAGCATTAAGGCTAGCTCAGTGTAGCTCAGTGATACAGCACATGCTTAGCATGTGCAAGGCCCTGAATTTGATGTTAGCACTGCAAAAAAGAAAGAGACCGAGAGAGAGAGAGAGAGAGAGAGAGAGAGAGAAGACAGCATCATACCACATGTGAGATACTGCTTTAAAAAAATACAGCAGGGAGTTTGTGGTTTGCCACTTCATAGAAACAAATCAATCTTTGTCAAAGGTCTTCTGGTTTTATTCCTTATGAAGGCTCAGGGGCTTCTAATTCACAGAGTTGCACTTTAGAAATAGTGTTAACCAAAGCCTAAGTGCATCCATGCAAAAAAGAAAAAAGACTCCATATATCTGCACAGATCCCTCTACTGGTAAATAATCCCTTCAGTCCAATACAATATTTATTTTACTTGAAAACATTTCAAGTTTTTCTGCTCCACTAGTTTTTAGTCATGTGAATACTATGTTCATAATCTTTACCCAGACACTATTCACATTCTTATGCCACAGTTCCTCAGAAGTTAAACTATCTTGCTTTATTTCCTTGCCTCCCTCTCCTTCTTCCTCCTTTTGTTGTTTTATTTCCCTCAGCTTCTTCGTGCATTGGTTCATTGGCCATCTTAAATTTGTTGAGATGGGCAGGAATCCAGCTTCTTACTAAAGAGGGAAGATAGTTTCGTAGAGAGGAGAAAACCTACCACTCATGAATTTGTCACTTGCTGAAATAAAGCCTCTTGTGTGCATTGGGATGAAGCTGGCACGCAGCCATCTATTAAGCAGAGACCATCACACTGCATCTTTTGTTTGAATACCGAAACAATTGCTCTCATCAGCTCTTATCTGACACACTTTCTTTTATGGATTCTTTTCATTGGTCTACCCAATAATCACTCTTGTAATTCCTGTGTTTTTAGACTTTTATTTTAAAATTTTTTCAAACTTTTACCTTTAAGAACTATTGAAATCTTTATATTTACTTTCATGAGCATTTGAAACCCAACCCCCAGTGCTTTCTTGCTTTCCCGTCTTTGACAAGTGTTTATCCATCACTGTTACTGTGGGGAGTTTGTATTCTTTTGTTTTATGTTTCCTTCTATTAGGCTTCTCCTTAACAGTATGAGACACTTTGAATTTTGGAGTGGGACAGATGGAACCAGTGTGATTCTAGATTTCTTTAGGTTATAGAAACTATAAGACACTTCAGGAAAGTTTACAGCCTTTATTTTTTATCAAATTGTCCACCCTGAGTCCATACCTTCCTGTCCTCTCCTAGTGAATGCAACAGGAAGATAGGCAAAAATATGAGAGTCTTCTTGAAGAAGTTGTTGAATCCAGGGAATGTTCTGTTAGTTCCTTGCACTCCTTTAGGCTCCTACCCTTCCCCCTTAGGTCTCCCCAGAACCAAAAACTCCCCTTACAGTGAGCAACTTCAAAGCACATAAAGAAAGGAGACAGAAATCACTCAAGAAAGGAACAAGCGTTAGAATGTAAGGGCCTATGATCCAAAAGATGAGACCTTAACATTTTCAAAATGCCTTACCTGTATCATCTCAACAAGCCAATATTCACCATTTCAGTGGAGGTCTGAAGTCATGCAGTAAGACGAGGAAGAAGAAGAAACACTGGAAAGAGAAGGCCCTAGTCTTTGTATTTGCTGATGTCCATGGTCCACCCCATACCAATAACAATCCTCCATAAAACTCTTTGAATTAATAAGATAATTCAGCAAAGTAACTAGAGAACCAATGAGCAAAACAAAAGGCAGTAGACTTGAGTACACCAGCATTGTCCAATTGGAATAGATAATAATGGAAGAAATTCTCTTTGTATTAGCAATGCCATGTTCACTCACCACCTTCCAGGCTGTAATTCTCTTACTCTTTCTACAAAATTTTCTGTTCCGTGTATAAATGTTGTTTCCAAGAGGTAGGAAGGAGACCAGAGACTGTCATCATTCACTTATTGCCCTGGTAGCTCTGTGGGCTTGTGTGCCACCTTCCGCCCCTCTACAGGCCATGAGCACTTCCTGGCTTGTCAGTGGTAGCTTTAGAGCAGCCTCCTCACCTGCTTCTCAGTATCTCCATGGTCAGTGCTCCCCACAGTGTGATGTGTGAACAAGCAGCATTGGCATCGCCTGGAACAGGTTAGAAATGAAGAATCCTGAGTCTCACCCAGAGCTGCTGAGTCAGAATGAGCACTGACCAAGATCTCCAGTTGATTTATCTGTATATTAAAGTTTTGTCCAGCACTGTCTAATGGATTACTGGATTCCTCCTTGCAATGCTTAGTGTAAGTAGAAAGCATACAAGGACAGTATATATTTTCTTGTGTTCTTCATAAAGAATTTATTCATAGAAATCCACCATTCACATCTAAAATTTTGCCACAGCTCTCTCAGAGTCCCAGTCTATGGACAGAAGGAAACTTTCTTTGCTGAAATTATGAAAATCCCATATCAGAATCCAGGAGAGCTAGCGAGCACCACCTGGCTAGATCTACTACCATCTCAACTGCATATGTGTGGTAGGACTAGTTAAAATCTCTGTGCTTCAGTTTCACCTTCTTTTTCCTGAACCTGATGAGAAACTAAATTGATTTCAGTGTCACCTTCATTTTCTATTTGATTTTTTACAGAGATAACAACTAGAGACCTACAGAATTGAAGGATGAAAAGGGCAGGAGAAAGGCATGAAAATAAAAAAAGAAAAAGTCTCAGATGGTCACGAATCAGGAATTAACTTTTTTTTCTCATCACTGGTTATCTTCACTCTGCCTCCCATGTATCACATGATAATATTAAGGCTTAGCTGGATTTATTTTTATTTTTGCAGTTGGAATATGAAAGGACCCCAAATCTCTTTTCCTTTTACAATATCTTTGTTCTTTAATGCACAGGCAAAGAAGAAAGAGGAGGTATTTGTCTTATGAGTAAGCTTATCCTTGCTAATTATTCATTTCTCTTTTTATACCTTTTTTGAATATTTATATCAACATTTATTTCTCCCAGTGCTACTTGGATTGAAGTCAGTTGATTCTTTTATCAGTAAGGACCAAGTAATGGGGGCCTGTCCATTATCTCCTCATTTGCTTGGGTACAGTTTTATGACATATTTTTGGAAGCTTCATGAATATTATCTTATAAAGCACTGAGAATCATGAGGCCGATATCCTGGGCACATTGTTTATCCAACTAAATCTAAAGGTCCCTCCTCTGAGCTGTGAAGAATTTACCCCACTGTGCTGTGTCTGAGTGGAGTTGTACTGCAACTTTATCCCTCTGTGATTACCTGGACATGATTTTCTCATTGTCTTTTTCCCATAAAAATTATAGTCTTGTGATTCAAATGCAAACCTTAACATTTGTTTTCTTGCACCTGGTTTATCCAGATTGTGCTGTCCTGGGTTATTAAAATGTGAAATTTTTAGGGAAAGCAACAGATTGTGTTATCTGGTGGAACAAATACAAAGACAAACACTTTCATACTGTCTGCACTTAATGCTTATTTGTGGTGAGTGTGGTTTTTAGAAGAGAGGATTATGATGCATCCACTGTAGGGCTTGGTTTTCCTGCATTTTGCTTCTGATTGATGGCCAAATGAATTGTTACGTCCTCTAACTACATTTTAATGGTGTTTAAGTGGGAGGGCATTTCAAATGATTAATGATTCAAATGATTAGTTCTTGTTGGAGTTAGGTACTTATTTTTCCCACAGATTTGCAAATGTGTTAAATGCATACCATTACAGATTAAAGCAGTGCTTCTTAAACTTGAGCATCAGCTATTAAAACATGATCCTTGGGTTCTACCCTGAGGATCAGAATCAGCAAATCTGGGTGAGGGGAGGACCAAGACTCTGCTTTTCTAACAGCCCCCAACTAATGGTAATGCTGCTGCTGTCATCCACAAACCACACTTCAAATAGCCTTGTGTTTGAACACACATGTGCATGTAAAAATACGTAAACATTAGAATTTCCTGTCCTCTTTTCCCCAACTTTTTTCTCTTCCCTGTAGCTGAATCCCTTCTTTCATTCATTTTTTAATTTATATGGATTGGCCACATCATCTCCATGAGTCCAGAAACCAAGTACAGTTTTAAATTTTAAAAAAAAACTTAATTTTAATATAGAGGGAAATATAGTGGCCAACTGTAAACATAACTCTTACTGGGGTCTAAAAATAACCTTTTTCATCATACATCCATTTTCTTCCATGGTATTGTTTATGGGAAAAGGAATGTGCCTAGCAAGAGAGTTTTTGTTTTTTTATCTATTTGCTTTTAAAACTACATTTTCAGCCTGGGTGGAACTCATCATTTTCTTGAATAGGGGGCTCTCCTGCATGATGGCGACACTTTCCTGAATGAGTGTGGCATGCCTTCACTTGCCTCGTGTTCGTTCCATGGTCCACCCCACAGTTTCTCTTCCTGTGCATATCCCACACTTTTGTTCTGTATGATCTCATGGCCTGTTATGAATATAACAGTTTCTGCTCTGGCACATGCATGGATGTGAGCTGTAATTTCTGAGATTACAACAGAAGCATGCTTCATTGGGATAAATTGCCAAAAGATGTTAATTCCTTATAAGTTAACATCCTTAACTCGGTGTTGGGAGGAGGTGGGGAAACTAGAAAAGCCTAGGGACACCCATGCTTTAGTAAATGACATCATGTGTTCTATTTGCCAAAGGCGTTTGTTCTATATAATCTGCCTTTTCAAATGATTGTCCCAAAACAAATGGGGAGGAAATCCATATGAACTTTTAAGAATTGTTTCTTAAAGGACTTTCCAGTGTTTTTCAAAATCTGTGCCTATATTTGGGCAAAGAGTTGTTGATAAGTTCCTCCTACTTATTGACCCAGTCTTTTTCACATCTGCTTATTGGTCTTCACTCCATGGAACTTTGCCTTATTTATTTACTTGAGGGGTGAGCGGGAACACAGTACAATCGTGGAATCCCCAGTAAACAATAAAGAAATTGGATGAACCCACTACCTCCAGTTCTCTCCTCTCTCTCTCTCTCTCCCTCTCTCAGTGTACCTGAGTCAGGTAGTAAATAGACTTCCCATGAAGTAAAAAGACAACACTGTAGGAAGCACATGGCTCTTGGGGCCGCCTGCCCCTACCAGGAGCATCTTAGTTGTCACTTTGAAAGGATGATGTCACTAGCCTCCTAAATGCCATTACCATTCATATACTCTCTGCCTGGAAAATTTTCTCAGGGCAATGGGACTTAAATTTTATAGTGAAAAAGATGTTTTTGAACTCCTGATATTTATATACAGATTTTTTTATGGTTTATAACTTATAGATGCCTTTGTGTTAATTAATTTTCATTATTACAATTGGTTCATTTTGAAGACTTGAGAAAATGTAGTTTGCAGAGTGCCCAGGAAATCTCTTATTGATATAGAAAGATAAAATGCTGTTCACTTATGAAACATGAAAGTTCTTGCTCTTAGTGTGTTCTTTTTTGTTTTTTAACTTAAATTAGTATATGATCTATTTACTTGAGCTAGAGTTTTTTGCTTTTTAAAATTATTTTTAATTAAATTTTCCATATTTTAAAAAATATTTTGACTCACATTTTAAAGACATTCATGTTAATTTCTTACCGGTGGTATAGGAAATAGAAGACAATACAATTGACATACACACTATGTTATATATCCTTCAACTTTAAGGGAGGAAAAATCCCATATTCATTCTCTCTCTCTCTCTCTCTCTCTCTCTCTCTCTCTCTGTCTCTCTCTATCTCTCTGTCATGCAGCAAGGGGAACCAACAAAATAGTCTCAAATTTGAAGTTTTCAAGATATGTTTTAGGAAGAAAGACAGGAAGACAGTGAAATCCAATCTTTATAATTATAAACATGATAGTCTTGATATGTCTTGTTTTAGAAATTATATACTTAGAAATGTGAAATGCTTCATGGGAAAGAAACGTCAACCTAAATGGAGTTATTTTCTCATCATAGCATCAACGAGATCCTCGACTGAATGAAATTTTATTCCCATTTTACGATGTTAAAAGGGCAATGCAAATCATTGAGAAGTATGAGCCTGACGAAGATTTGAAGAAAAAAGGTAATAAAACATTTCTAGAAATTTGTTTTTTAAAACAAGAAAATATGCAATTTTGAAAAGCCTAGTATTTTTAATTAAAGGTATATGTAAAAGCTTTGGTGCTCCCCAGAGCCAAGTTACATTACCCACATTACTAATGTATTGATTTATTTTCCCTACTCTTCAGTGTAAAATTTAGCTTACAAAAATTAGACCATACTGAATGAAGTATACTGTTCAATTTATTGAACTACTAAACATATTACAGTTGTATTTTCCCCATGCACTTTCTTATATTATTTTAATACTGCATATTGCTTAAGATAAAAATGTCATTATACTCTATTTACAGTCGTTGGAAAGAGTTTTTGTCACATAAAAATTTGTACCTTCTTTTTTCCTTTTTGTTTTGCCAAGCCAAATAATTTAACACATGATTTGAAATGGCCTCTCACCCCTCATGTGACCCCTGGAATGGAAGAGAAAACAACTGATATGAAATTAAATAGTCAGGAATCACTTTAGCAAAGTGTTGGCATTTCTAGACCTTTGGCCCTGTTAGTGAAACTTTAGAAACAATGTGTGGTTCAAATATTTGCCAAAGGAAAGACTCAGAGGAGAGTTTGAAGGTCAGTCCCAGTGCAGTGGGAAACACCCAGGAAGGGCGGGAGGAATGATGCCAATGTGACAGACAGGAGGCACTGGCAGTGTGGACTGATGGTTAGGAGATCAAGGTGGAGGATCTGTCTGTCCTGTATGCTTAGAAATCGCTGGGCTTCAGTTGCCTCCTCTTTAGAATGGATTCTTTGTTCTGTGTATCAAATGCCAGGGAATGTAGTGGAAAGGTTTATACATTCTCTGGATCCACACAGGACCTGTTTATAAGTAGGCCTGGCACAGACAAACCTCTCCCTTGGATGGCGCTGAATAGTCACACTTTCAGATCGAGCTGCAGATTCCTATTTGCATTACTTGCCTCTCCATCGATATTCTGAATATCGCCATTTATTCCACATTGTATCTGATTAAAGCAGACCAAGTATTGGGTGGCGATGTGATTCTAGGTCACCTTGAGCAAGGAAATAGCCTCTTGCAGCTCTGTTTCCCTGATTGTAAAACGGAAGGGCTCATGTTGTCATTCACTATTTGTCTTCTCTGTCGTTATTTTTGTTTTTCTTTTATGGTGGTGGTGGGGCTTAAGCCCAGGACCTTGAGTCTACCAGTGAGCTACACCCTCAGGCCCTATTGTACTGTCCTTTTGTAAAATTTGTAGAAAGCTGAGTGAGTGCCAGGCACTGTGCTAGGTGCCGAGAATTCAAAACAGAGTAAGAAATGCTTCCTGCCTGGAAGGCAATTGTGATTTGTTCAAAGGGAAAGACAAGTGACTCAATAATTCCTTCGCAATATGATAAATGTTACAATAGATATGTGCTATTGGTTTTTTTTTTTTTTTTTTTTTTTTGGTTTGGGGGATAGAACTCAGGACCTTGCACTTGCGGGGCAGGCACAGTGCCACTGAGCTAAATTCCTGGTCATTGGCAATTTCTAAAGTCCTTCCAAGTCCTAAAAGTCTACAAGATTGCTATGGACACCTAAAAAGAGTAGCTTCACTGTTTCACAAATGACAGGAACTTTCCAGTCTGCCATTATCCAGTGTGGGTGAGAATGTGCTGTAAATGACATCTTCAGAAACTTCTGGTGGGAGTGTAAATAGGTCAATGACCTTGGTAGTTTGGCAATAGTACATTAAATAGAAAATATGCCTGGCATACAGCCCAGCATCTCCTCTGCTAGATGTTCACCCTAGAAAATCTCTTGTGCATTTACCAAACCCTGGATGCCAGAGTGGCACAGAGTTTAGGGCTTAGACCTTGGCTCCATCCATGGCTTGCCCTTGGGTGAGTTCAGGGAGGGCAGTGGCCTCAGGTTCCTTCTGACTTAGGACTTTCAGACTGAACTCTTCAGTCTTCACCTCTAACCTAAACTGCAGACCTGTAGTAAAACTATTCATTTGGATGTTGAATGGGCAGGGCCAATGTATATTAGAAATCTAGTGCTTTGATTCTGCCTTGCCCCGGCTCTGTCTGTTCTTTTCCTAGCTGATAAAACAGTCCCATTATTCCCTCTGCTTTTCAGGTCAAACCTTTGGAATCATATTGGACTTGTCTCATTTTTTTTCACATCACATCAGCACAATCTGTAAGATCCAACCTCAAATTGACTTAAGTGACTCCCAACCTGTTAGATGTCAGATGTGCCCAGTTTGTGTTTCCTGATACCTGAAGAATGGATACAAAGACAAAGGAGATTAACAGTGGGAAAAGTTTACTAAGAAAAAGATCCTAAGACACAGGAGGGATCCCAAAAGTGGGTAGCCCCTGAGGCTCTTTGTTAAGGGCATTTTATACAGCAAAAATTACAACTTGGGTAACTCTGGATTATACTGCAATTAGCCTATGTAACATTACAAGCATAGTAGTTTAGCTAGTATTGGTCCAATAGGGAATCAAGACACATAACAAGGGTATGTGATGAGCATCATTAACTTCAGCTTATCTGTAACTTTTAATAGAGAAAGAACACAGGCATTCCAGGAAAGGGATGGGAGTGTGGGTCAAGGTGTTCTAGTCACCCACCTATGAATCTGACACCTTCTCTGGCTTACTGGACCAGGTCGTGCTAACTATAGTACGATCACAAGCTGCTGTCTCTGGGGAGGCTTGCAGGCCTGGCTCTCATGTCTCCAGCCACAATTTTGATGGTCTCATCTTCTGCACTGACTCTCTCGAGGGCCCAATCCCTCTCTGACTATCTATGAGTTTCTATTTAACTTAGCTGTCTATAATAAAATCACTTCTCAACATCTCCACTGTACCAGACCATGGGAGCCAACATCATCTCTCTCTGGGCCATGTCAGTTGACTTTTAGCTAGTTTGCCCTTCTACTCAGTGCTCCATACAGCAGCCAGAATAAACATTTTAAAACCAAATCTAATGATGCTATCCTACTCTTCAAGCACCATCCCCTTCTTGCCCCCAAGCTTTACAACACACTTAGAGTAAAATCCAAAGTACTTAGTGAGGATTAAAGCCCAGCTGATACAGCCCTCGGCTACATCTCCAATCTGAATTCCAGCCACTTCCATCCTTGGCCGCTCTGTCTCACTCATTGAATGAACTTGGCACACAAACTCCTTTATCAAGATCTTTCCCATGCTGATTTTTCTGCCTGGAATGAGGATCCCCCACCCTAACATGTACATATGGCTTGCTACCCATGCCTGTGACCTTCTCAGAAGGGCTTTCACTGGTCACATACCTTAATACAGCATTCTGCCATTCTTTATCACCTCTCTGCCCACTTGTCTTCAGCATTCTTGTGACATATCTATTTGTTTATTCATTTATTTATTTCATCGGTAATATGGGAGTTTCATGAAGGGAGGATGTCTGGTTGGTTTGTTTGTTTGTTTTCCCCCATCATTGCATCTACCCCAGTGCCTCGCAAGTACCTACTTTTAGAATGGATGAACATGCAGAGAGAGAGAGGCATAGAAGCTTCCATTACAATACCTTCAGTTGTAATTATAAATTATATAAATGTCCATCAGCAAAATAATGGAAAATAGATTATAGTATACTCATATATGGACCCATACATTCAGTGAACAATTAATGAACAAGAGCTGTACATGTAGATAAGACTCAAGAAAATATATAGTAAAAATATCAGCTTCAAATCTATAAAGTGGAATAGTTTCTCTATATATTTGAAAGCACTCAAAACGACCTATTGTTTGGATAAATGAATATGTAATCAAACTGTAAAACCATTTTGGGACTCTACACGTAAAATCTAAGGTAGCGGTTACTACATGTAGTAGAAAGAAGGCACTAAATAGAATTGAGGTAGAGTACCTAGGGCTCTGCAAAAGCATTTGTAATTATATATTCATTTAAAAAATATAAAGCAAAAGGTTAAGATCAGACAGCGTTGTGGTATAGATCAGTGGCTGTTTTTTATGCTATCATCTATACTTTTATGTAAACTTAAAATTAGTTACTAACTTCCAAATGCCTGAGCAAAACAGTAAAAATTGAGGCCGCTAATAGATGATAGGGTAGGAGAAGATACAAAAATACATCGGTATCCTGTAGCTACTGTATATCCTGCCTCATGTCAGAGACATATGATTGAAATGAGCAGAGGCTCTCGGGGCAGGTTTTAGTGGCCCTTGCACACTCTCCTTACCAGCCCTGTACTCTTTTAGATAAAGCAGGGAAGTTAAATTGTTTAAGTTCAGAAAGGCCACTGTCTCCATGAAAAGCCCCTTCTGCAGTCCAATTCGAGCAATGCTGACCTACCACTCTTATGTTTTCCATTTGTTAAAGTGCATCTCTCACACATACTCTCGTGAGCCTAGTGAGCCTGGAAAGCCAATGGGGCCAGTATTTTCTCCCACTGGGGAGAAGAGGAAGCTGAGACCCAGGAGCATAAGGAGAATTTGGCAAAAGCTAGAGAAAGTCACCTTGAGCACTTATCACCATGGAACTGTTTCTGAATGTGGGAGACTGTGTCCTTCTGGCATCACAGATATAAAGGGACACCGCCACCTATTGTAGAACACCTTATGTTGCTTAAAATGTGCAATTCTATTTTATTCAAGTCTTGAAAAATGAGGGTTCTTGAGAAACACTGAAGAAGCGCTTACTGTTGCTGTGTAAGCTGCCTCAGTTCCCCTGAATAAAACACAAGATGGGCATGTTCAGAGCTTCAAGTGCTACTAAGATGTTCTTTTTCCCCTAGGCCTCATATCAAGTGATGGGTTTTGCAGATATCTGATGTCAGATGAAAATGCCCCAGTCTTCCTAGATCGCTTAGAACTTTACCAAGAAATGGACCATCCTCTGGCTCACTACTTCATCAGTTCTTCCCATAACACCTATCTCACTGGCCGACAGTTTGGTGGGAAATCTTCGGTAGAGATGTACAGACAAGTTCTCCTGGCTGGTTGCAGGTCAGAAACTCAAGATGACAATTAGTTTGTTGTACATGCTGCCTTCCAGCTTACAGTCACCCCCTTATCCATGGGCCACGTGTTCCAGGGCCCCCACTAATGCCCCAAACCAGAAATTGTGCCTGATTGTATATATACTGTTTTTTCCTGTACTGTATATACTGATGATAAAGTTTAATTTGAGATTAACAAAAATTACTAATGATACAATACAACAATTATAATTATATACATTAACAAAACTGTCCATATGCCTACCCATGTGGTTTGGGGTCATTACTAAGCATAATGAGCGTTGCTTGAATACAAGCACTGCAGTACCTTGAGAATTGATCTCATAACCAATAATGCTCCTAAGTGGCCAGTGAGCAGGTAGTGTATAAGGTGTATCTTGGACCATGAGATTACTCCGATCCTGGGTTGGACGATGGAATGGAAGAGATTTCATCATGCCTGTTTATATCTGGTATTTTCCATTTAATATTTCCAAGACTACTATTGACCACAAGTAACTGAACCACAGCTATGGGAAAACTACTATAATTTACCTTTTTCTGAAATAGGAACTAGAATGAAAAGGACATTTGTCCTTGTCTTTAATGAGTTATGATGGTCATTTAACCTTAAGAAAGAAAGGATAATATTACTTCCAAAAAGTCTAGCATTGTCCTTTTGGTCAAAATATATTGTTCTTACTATATATTTACAATAGGCTTCAAAAATTACAAAAACATACATATTTTAAAAAGTCATATTGAGTTTTCTACTGGGTGTAGTTATTTGCAAACTTAGCATTATTTAATGTTAAAATTTAGAAGTTTACTTCTGTGAGAATAGAGAAGACTGAAAACAGTTCTTACAGGTTTAAAATATGGCAAAAATGCTGAAAGTAAAAAATAAAAAATATCCTTACATTATTAGTTTTCTCTCGGTTTTCATTTGAGCAATCCTTTTAAACTGTTTTTGTATATGTAAATGCTTTAAAAGAAATTAACTACATCCCTACTTCTATCCACATACTTCCTCTGAATACCTGAGTATGAATCAATAAGACATGAAAACATGTTCTAATATGGTGATGGTTATCATTATTCCACCTAACACAAAAATACTCTAACCCAGGCTGTACATAAATTTCCCCACTCTTCCTCAAACTCTTCCTCATTGCAGCTTTGTCACAAGGAAGATTTTATCTGGAAGTAGGCTGCTTGTTATCTGCAGTTGCTTAGTCTTCCTGGGCCCCTTTCGATGATACCAACCTGCTGGAGTTTAATGGGACAGTAACGAGGCTTTAACCTGCATGTACCATAAAGTAACCATGTTACTTGATTCATTCCATTGTCTGCTCTGTAAGAAAACAACTTATTTGAATGTCTTTCTTTGAATTTGTACACACAATGTTTTGTGCTACAGGTTCAATAATGTATTTTTACTGTGTTCCTAGGTGTGTTGAACTTGATTGTTGGGATGGAAAAGGTGAAGATCAAGAACCGATAATAACTCATGGAAAAGCAATGTGCACAGATATCCTTTTTAAGGCACGTTTTAAAATCACACAGTCTCACTTTTTCCAAAGAATTGTGAAAGTGCAGGAAACAAAAGTGCAGACAAGAAAACAAATTACCATTTTCTCAAGCATTGTACTTTCTTATTTTCTTCCCATTTTGAAGAGAAATACAAGACAACTGTTGTCTCCACTTGTTGTTCCCATCATGCTATTTTTCCTGATTTCAAGTGACGGACTCTGTTACATAATGAAGTTTTTCTAACAGAGTCTGCCTACTATTGCTTATTCCTTAAAAACAGTCCTTTATGTCCTAATCTACTAATTGGCTTATATACGTCAAGATGGCATGAAAAGATAAATAGAAGGAAAAATACATTATAAATAAGGCCTATCCAAATAAGAGAACAGGTGATGAGGTCAAAGTTTATAACATATAACTTTAGAGGTACTAATTTATAAAATGAATTAACAATGCTTGTCAAGAAATCTCATAAATTTGCAAGTCACACCACCAATTGGGCTTTGCACTTTCTAGAATTCAATTTGAGGAGAACAACATGTGATGCACTGGATCAAGAAATCAGAAACACAGTTATTCCCAGAACTGACAGCACTGAGACATTTTCTCTCCAGGATCTTCATCAAGAAGAATCTAGATTTACAAAAAGACATCTCCATAATGGCCTTTTGGCATTAGATTTGAAGGCTAAGTTTTAAAAGCATCCCTTCAATATGCCCATGATATCTTTCCAAAAGACAAGTATAAAAGAAAAAAGAAATTATGTAGTTGGTCAGTGAATCAGATGCATCAATCTCCATTGGCTTAGTGCAGCTCTGGATAGATACTAAAACATTTTGAGCAATGGTTTTCAATACTACCTGTGAAAAATCACCAGGGATGTTTTCCAAAGCATAGATGCCTAGGCTTATACCCATAACACTCCATGAATATCATTTCTGTCCAACAAGGAATGATTCAAGAGTATGCTTTCTGACAAAAACCGGGAGTATATTCAAGGGGGAAGCCATCAATCTGCACAGCAGCCTAAGAGATAGGAAGGGTGATGTCTGCTTTGTATTGTCCTGGAGCTGGGTCTTGATATGTTGCTCAGGTTGGTCTCAAGCCTCCCGGACTCCAGTGCCTGTCTCCCTCAGCCTTAGGAATGTTGGAATTGCAAGTACAGGACATGTCCCTGTGCCTGGATAGGTGATGTCCTATTTAGAGAATTAAGGAGCCTAATTAGGAGGCACAGCTGAAAAGGAGGTTATTCCCTCTTTGTTTAGGGTAAGCAAAGGCGAACCCAAGGGCAGAGACAAGGTTTCCTTAGGGAGTTATTCTTGGTCAACTCGTGGAAAATCAAAGGTCTCAAGCATTTTCACCTGGGAAGAAAATTAAAGGCTAGAATAACTCAATGAGTAACACATGCCTGTAATCCCAGCCACTTAGGAGGCTGAGGCAGGAGGATTGCAAGATCAAGGTCAGCCTGGGCAATTAATGGACTCCTCTAGGTCATAATTGTAAAACATTTTCCTCATTCACTGGATAATGAGACATGCCTGTGTTTAGCTACAAATCAATAACAACTTGGAAATTTTTATCAAATATGATGCTATGATGCTCTGGTTGTAGAAGAATGGAAGTCTTTTTTTTTTTTTTTTTTCCTAAAGCTAAGTAGAAACTAGGGCCAACCATCTGTTAAGACCTCACCTGTCTCATAGAGATAGGAGGGAATTTGTTCAACTCATTCGAAAGTACTTTCAAGGACAAGAGGGTTCCAGAGCACACCCCTGTTTTACCTCACATTTCTCTTCACCAGAGAAAACCCCCTCCCCGTGACCTCCTTTTTGCCAGGTTAATATAAAACAAAGAATATTACAAATGTCACATCAGTAGACAAGGAGATATGTGGAATTAATGAATTATCAAATAAGGAACTGGCAGGTCACCAAGATGAAATTTCTTATAAGTTGATAGCACTATTAATTCTCAAGAGGTAAAAGATAGCTTTGAAAAAAATTGTCATTATGCATTAACTGCAGCCTGTGTCTAACCCCTGGGACTTGAAGCGGTATTAGGTAGATGAGTTTTCCTGGTCAGAATTGCTAAAATTGACTCTCTGAAAGGTTCAATTAGTGTTCTCTGAATAGTTACATGTGCTGTAATTTTTTTTGGTTCTTTTTCCTCATTAACACTCTTTACCTTTAAAGGATGTAATTCAAGCCATCAAGGAAACTGCATTTGTCACATCGGAATATCCTGTAATTCTCTCCTTTGAAAATCACTGCAGGTATAATGATTTGTTCTACTCCAAGTCTCTTAAGTGGTGTTGTTTTCTAACCCCTGGTCCTCTACTGCTGTTCTGCATCTTGTTAAATAACTTAGTGGTTTGTTTTATGAAGTACTAAGTGCAAATGATCCTCCAGTAAGGACACTGAGCCTTATGCAAGCCCTCTTCCCCAAGAAAGTTATGTTTATGTGCTTTAGAAATGCTTGCTCTAAAAGAGTGTTCAGAGATCTGCACACCTTCCTTAAAGTTCCACTGAGTAGGAAGATTGGCAATAATTTGAAAGACATTTTTGTAACCTTCTTACCTATTTTAGTTTGGAGGCTTTTTAAAAAAAATGCACTAGTCAAGAGTTTATGGTCTTTGGAAGCATGTCTTGTGTTAAGGTTAGGAGGACAAGCGTGCTTCTTTGCAGAGTAGGAGACATTAATCGAGTAGGAATGGGTGTTTCTTATTTTTGGATGGTTAATGGATGTTTGAATTTACAAAATGCCACTTCTTTCTCTCAAGCAAATATCAACAGTACAAGATGTCCAAATATTGTGAAGATCTATTCGGGGATCTCCTGTTGAAACAAGCACTTGAATCACATCCAGTATGTATTTTTAGCAAACCATATTTCTAGCATGAATGGATTTGTTTTGAAATTCATTTTTGAAGGGTCAAGTAGCACTGGAAGACTAATGTGAAAGATCTTCCTATTTATTTAAATTTTTTGGTATAAAACGCTTTTATCATGCTTCGGAGGGATGTAGAGAGGCACATAAAATAAACATGTGGTACAATTTAATCCAGAAGATTTGGGATCTCATGGTTTAAATTTCACAAGGCCTATGGTCCAGATTCTGCAGTGGTTCTCAATGTTAGTTAGATGTTAGAATCACCTTGGAGAACTGTAAGAAACGTCTACACCGGGGCCCCATCCATAGATTGATTTCACTGATCCAAGGCTGAGCTCCAGCCTGATGTATTTTAAAAGTTTTCCAGGTGGACAAAGATTTGGCCAGGGTTCAAAACCCCAGGAAACTGTTGCTGTGGAAAGTGCCTTAGGCTGATGTCACAGTGTCCTGAAGTTCAGGCTACCAACTCCGAAACAAATCTTTGGGCACTGTTTTAGGACCATTCTGAACTGAATTTTACACCTGTTAAGTTTCTTCATAAAACAGAGAACATTAACTCATGCCCCATAGATGGATTTTGTGGGGTTCTTGAATTTATTCTGATTGCTTACAGTTTTTTAATACATAATCATTCCAGAGAGTTTATTACATTTTTATAAGGATTAATGACCTCTAAGAGGTGGGGATCCATTTTCACAAGATGTTATGAGTTGCAAGACAGACAATAAAATTAAAGTGAGGTACTAGAACCCTCCTACTGACAGGCAGCTCCTGATGAGCCCACACACAGTAGCATGAGGTGGTAGGAGAGATGACAATAAGAAGGTGCTTTCTGCTACGTCAGTACTTTGGCTGGTTTAACAATGAGGGTTTTTTCCCCCGGGAAGTGTATGGGAACTAAAAATGCGCAGGTGACAAGCATCCTTTGCTCCTTTCTCCAGCCTGCTAAAGCAGTCATTGTAGCTGCCCTTACCCTCGCACCACTTCCTGTTTACCTGCACGCAACCCTGATTTTTGGCCACCAACACCTGCAGCCTTTTAGCTGAGTGTGAGCTGTGATCCCTGGATCCTGCTCTGTCCACACATGAGAGACAGGTCAGAAATGCTGGAGAATTAACACCTCCACTCCATGCTCCAGTGCTCCCAAGGTGTGCCAACTGAGCATCTATTCTACTCTGTCTCCCAGGGTCCCTCAGCAGGATAGAGCTCCATTTTCTCAGTGATAACTTGCTTGGTAACACACCATGGATTGGCTGCCTGTTTCTTTTTCTTGCTTTCCCACTCCTTTGTTGCAGTCTCCTGGGGCCACCTCCAAATAAACTACTAGTGCATAAATCTTGTCCCAGAGCTTAATTCCTAGGTAACCCAAACTAAGAAACATCTCCAATTTGTTGAATGATTATTATTTTAAACATGAGCCTCCCACTTATCTTCCTGGCTAAGGTAAGATGCTTGCCTTTCTGGAAAGACTAGTATTCTCAATGAAATGTTTTGCACGTCCTTGAAAGGAGTTATGGGAATCACAAGTGGCATAAATGGGAGTAAACCTGCTCTCTTAACTAAAGAGTTTGAGGGCTGGGACAAGGGAGGGAAGAGTTTCACTTGAAGCAAGACAGACAAAGCAAGGCACAGCACCTTGTCAAAAATAGGATAAAAATGAATTTTTAAATTGAACAGATACATGGAAGGTGGGCAGGTGAGGGTATAAGTGGATGAGTGGAAAATAGGGAATAGATGACTAGATATGGGACAGTTTGGGGGTAGTAGCCTAAAAAGACACCTTTGGAGGTGGAAACCTAAGCAAATAAAGTCATAGTGGCATTTATTTCCAATAATTAAGACCCTTCCTCCTTAATTCCCTTATTAAACACACCAAGCTACAGTCCCAGGCATTGAGTTAAATCAGTCTTCTGAGCAGACAGGCGTACTGCACTCAGCACCTGGGGGATATCTAGGAAGCTTCTCACCTGAGAAAATCATTTCTGGCCCCAGCAACTGCAGTGATCCCTTGTGCTTTACTAGAAACCTAAACATTGAGCAGTCTGAGATGGACCAGGACCCTCTCCCCCAATAGCACCTGCATCAGACCCCAGCTCCACTGGGCTCTGACTGGTCAGGCTCCGCACACCTCTGGAGACTATGGATTCCCAGTTTGAGGTCACCCTAAGGCAAGAGGATGCAGTGGGCCAATTTGGCTGGGAATGAACATGTACAACTGCTGCCTGCCATCTAGTGGATGTTGGACTGTATGACTCCAGGCCACCGGTGCTCATCACGGGTGGGAGTGAACATGGAGAAGCACAACTCATCACTAACTCAGGTTTTTCTGTATCTCTAGCTCGAGCCAGGCAGGCCTTTGCCTTCCCCCAATGACCTCAAAAGAAAAATACTCATCAAAAATAAACGTCTGAAACCCGAAGTTGAAAAAAGTGAGTCATATATGCTGCTGTCTAAAATGAAATTTATTTTAAAACCACCAGTTTGGGGGGAAAGACAGCAGTAGTGATATTATGTTTACTTTTCAGAGCACAGTTGTCTCATTTCCATTTAAATTTACTTTTCATATCAACTCATTCATACAGTGGAAAAGTATATTCATACACTGGAATTTTAAAGAGTCTGAAGGAAGAATAAGAAGAAAATAAAAGCAGCATTTTGGTGATGATGTATCTTGGTGTACTTTCTTTCAGAAAAGTTGTGCCAATATACAAGAATGCCTATTGATTGCTAGTTTCTTTGTACATTATGGGTTGTGACTTGTCCCTACATGTTTTCCCATTTTGTAAAAATCATTTCATTTGTCTCTATCTTACTGATTTATAACAGTTGTTTATGTATTAGGAAAATAAGCCTAGCCACATTAGCTGGAAATACTTTCCCTGGAGTTTTGTTAATCTCCAATATCCATGTATCTTCTTTCACTTCTTCAGAATTATTCTTAAATCTGGATCTGTACCAGATTCTCCAATTTGTTATTTTTTATCTGGCTCTAAATCCTGGGCCTTCCTCTCAAACTTAGCGACCAGCATTTAGGGCAGTTCCCCTATGCTGCAGGAGGTCTTCTGCATGCTTGTTTGATGTTCCCTACGAAGCCAGGACCAGCAGAAATAGGTGAGACAGGAACACCTGGAACCTTAGGAACATGGCCAGCAGGTGCCTAACCAACAGATTTCCTATCCCTCTTCATTCCCTTCTTCTCAGTATTGATTTTTAAGGCCCACGTTTTTGTGTGATCTACCATCTCCTTGTTTTTATTCTTCATAACAGAACAGCTGGAAGCTTTGAAAAGCATGATGGAAGCTGGAGAATCCGCTGCTCCAGCTAACATCTTAGAGGATGATAATGAAGAGGAAATAGAAAGTGGTGAGTTGTTCTTTCAAGTTATGTGCTCTATATTTCAAGTTATGTGTTATGTTGTAAAATAAGGGAAACATGAATTTCTCATTAGATCATTTTGTATAGTGATGACAGGTTAATTCCTAATAATCAGGTGCATATTTATGGATCAACTTTAGTCTTTTGGATTTTTTTCTTCAAATATTACTTTCAGTTTCTCTAGGCATTGGACTTCAGTGGCTTAGTCATCTCCCTTCCTGCTGTGCATTCAGTTGTTCCACAGAAATACAGAGACTTGGCCTTGAAGCACTTGCTGTAGCAGGCAGGGGCTGGAATAAGAAGTACACTTTGTAATCTCATCCTGTAAACAAATCTTGAACCTCAGAGTTGTTAGTGATGTGATTGGCAAGGCAAGGAGCACAGAGTGAGAGAAACTTAAGTAAATAAAGAATTGGTTTACAAGGAGAATCAGCAACGCAAAGTCAGAATTAAAATTTCAAGTTCAGGCTAGAGGTGCCAGGCACAGTGATTCACTGGAAGAGTGAATACTTAGCATGCTAGAGGCTCTGGTTTCAATTTCCAGAACCACCAAAAAAAAAAAATTCCTCCAAATTACCAGCTCACCAGAATTATCTATAAAGGTAGATAATCTTGGCAAAGGCAGCCTTGCTTAAAACATTTGAATATTTGCTATTTTGCATTGGCCATGTAGCCACAACCATAATATTTTGTTTGAAATCGGGAGTGAGGGTGTAACTCAGTGGTAGAACATTTGCTTAGCAATATGAGGCCCAGGGTTTGACATCAGCACCACCTACCTAAAAAGTAAAAATAAAATGAAATGGGTCATTTGAAAGTTTAGGGATGTTCTCAGAAAACTACCTATTTGCTATGTCTTGTGAGAATTGACTAGCAAAATGACTTGGACTTGCACTGGTTATACAGTACCTTGGATGTATGTAATGGCTTTGGGCTAAATAATTTAGAAATTCTTGTGGAAACTTTCTTCACTTATTATCCAAACATCTAAGATAGGATTTTAAGAAAGCCAGATACATAGCTTAAAAACCTGAAAGCTGTGAGAACTAATCCTATTAACAACCCTTTAATAAATTCTTACTGTCACCAACATCACAAATGGATCAGCTGCATATCTAAACTATGAGATTGTCTCCATTCACAGAGAAAAGTCACGATGATTTACCTTCATAGATTTATGTGTCAGGGAAGATCTGGGAGGCCAGAGATACCTGGTATTACTCAATTGATGCTGGTAATGATGACCTGTTACCCGCAAAATAAACCATCCCCAGATTTAGAGACTTACAATGATCTCTTATCATTGTGTGGATCACCTGGAGGTTGCTGGTTCTCCCTGGGTATTTCGTGCAGTTGCTGGCAGATGAGATCTGGGGCTGGCTTCACCAGAAGGTTCTGTTGAACTGGTTATCCAGTGTGGCTGGCAGTTAGTGCTGGCTGTCCTTTGGGAGCTCAGCCAGGCCTACTGAACAGAGCACTCTCTGGTGGCCTCCATGTATGGCTTGGGCATCTCACAGCATAGTGGCTTAAGTTCCCTGATGTCATATATAAGAGCCTGTATCCCAAAAGGCAGGATATGGGAGCTGCTAAATTATTTTAAAGCTATGGCTAGAACTGGCATCACTCTCTTTCTCTTTTATTCATCAAAGTAGTCTTAGGGCTGCACAAGTTCAAGGGAGCAAGTGAGTGACAAGGACTTATTGTGGATGAAACATAGAGGACAGAAATCAACACAGCTGTCTTTGAAAAACACAATAAGTAACAATGCCTATTATGTAATTTCTCAGTTTTGCAAACAACAAACCTAAGCAAGATTGAAGAAATAAAGCACTGAAAAAAATGTATTTTAAAAGATCAACAAAATACCCCCAAAATGCAAAGGATGAATATTAAGCAAAATTGGTTCCTGAACTTAGTTTATGTTTCATACATTACTACCAAAACATGTAAGGCATTATTGATATTACAATTCAGTAAAACAAATTGTAGAAATCATTGAATAAATTAACAAGAAAAATATTGCTAATAATAATAACAGTACCAACCATAGACCAGGCAGGTTATACAGTATCTCTGACTTTTCTCTTCTTCATGCAGCCTAGCAAAATAGGTATTCTAGTATATGTGCTGCCAAAGTGAGCAGGGAAAATATGTATTGTTATATCCATCAGAGGAGGAAGCTGCAGCTTAGAGAGCTGGACTGTTTTACACAGAGTGGCACAGTTGCAAAGCAGTGGCACTAAGACTCAACTCCAGAATTGTCTGACTGTGATGTCACAACCTTTTGTATCTTGCATTATTGCCTTTGTAATATAGAGACACTGAAGAGTACACAAATATGCAAAATGGCTTGTAAAATATTTTCAAAAGAATGAAGAATACAACTGGTCAAAGTCAAAAGTGATATTTCCTGAACACACGCAATAATCTAAAATAAGGGTCAATATGACTCTACTATCATCCTCATCAGCACTTTCCCATCTTCTAACACACATATTTTAATTATTCTTCCAAGTAGAAAAATATTTGCCTCTAGTGACTCCTGGATTAGCACAAAATATATTGGAGGTTTTGCACAAAAACAACCACAATAAATTGTAGGAAAACACATGAAAAGACAGAGTCATTCACTGAATTTCTCTGTAAGGGCACAGAGGCCCCTTCTGTCCCAGATACGCATATGATTCTGAGGTTCCCTCCATCATACTGTACTTGGCTTCAGTTCTTGTCAACTGGTTGGCTGTAATTACCTTGCTATCACAATATGATGGTACTATGTATCGGTAGCTAGCATCTCCAGTTTAAACACATCAACACCTCAGGAAAGAGGAAACCCAGCAAGGTTCAAGAGGGCAGGCCTACCCTGTGGCTGTAGAAAAAAAGGAAAGGCTCTTAGTGAAATCATGTGTTTGTCCATGATTATGAGGCAAACAATGGAGAATACAAATTTGTATATGGCTGGCATGTGTCTCTGCATGCAGGTATATGCAGGGAATAATAACATGAATTTATGTACTCTTTCAAAGTGGTAGTTATTAAGTGCTAAGCACCTGGATAGGGAACATTCCTTGGCTTCAAGTAGTTTACATCTGGCTCAGCAAGTGAAGTAAGCATACAGGCTCAGTATCTCTCACCTAAAATGCTTGGGACTAGAAGTGTCTCCGATTTTAGAGTTTTTTAGGTTTTGAAATAATTGCATAGAAGCTACTAGTTCAGTGTTCTAATTCAAAAATATCAAATCTGATATTCAATACAGTGTTGATGTAACGCTCAAAAAAATTAGGTTTTAGAGCATTTCAGAGTTCAGATTTCACATTTTCAGATTAATGATGCTCAACCTATATACATAATGGAAATTTAATAGTGATGGTGAGAAGTTTCCAAATCTTGTTGACAGATTGTGAAGTGGAGAAACCTTGTGACATGTTCTACATAGGTTATAGGCAACGACTGAGTGCTTGGTTGTTATTTGGCTTCATGGATTTTCGTGTTGTCTTTCCCACAGCTGACCAGGAGGAGGAAGCTCACCCCGAATTCAAATTTGGAAGTGAACTTTCTGCAGATGACTTGGGTCATAAAGAAGCTGTTGTCAATAGCGTCAAGAAGGTCAGAGTCTTCATGTCCCTTTTCTTTCATGGCTTTCAAGGGGTAGCAGCTGTTGGGAAACTGTGAACATGTAACAGTCTTGAGAGAATGAAGTGAATGAAGTCGCCGATCATGCTCTTTCTAACTGCTCAGGATGTAAGCATCTACTAGTGACCAGAATTTGACACGAACACAGTACTAATTCTAAAGAGCCATTTCAGTTGCTTATTAGTCATGCCCACTATTGACCGCTACCCATTTGGGCAGTCTCCTGGAAATATTACCACTCAGTGCACTATGGTAGGTGGATAGGAGGACAACAGCTGCATCCCAGGGACAGAGATTGGCCTGTTGGAATCACCAGGCAGATGACTCCTGGACATCCCAAGCTAAATCTTTATTAGAGAACTAGGTCTACTAAATAAATGTGTCCCTCCTAAAGGCGAGGAAACATAAGAACAATTCCAGATGCTGACCGCGGAAAATGTGATCAGAGAGTGTCAGGATTCACAATGTAGGGAGGATCTCAGGATGGCTCCCCCCCAGCCTCCATGGGTCAGAGCAGAGATTGTCCCTTGACCCATAGCCTAGTGCTGGGAGGGAGTTTCCCCAGGTAACAGCTGCATCTGGCCCCCGGCAAAACCTTAGCAACCTTATCTTCCAGTCCAGACAGACCCACCAGCAGCCTAACAGTGGCTGTGGACCTTGTCCCCACACCTGTCCAAAGATAAGACCCGCAGTCCCAGCCCCCATCTGGGCGGTATCTCCTGTTCTCCTTCGAGAGAAGTGGGTCTCCCCAGACCCCGAAGTGTGGTGGAGGGGACTGTACAATGCAGAATTGGCCTGACACTCACCCCTCCATGGCGACTGCATGGGTGGCGACAGTGGCACCTTGCACGTGCTGTCAGGCCCACTCCACTGTGACAGGTGGTACAAGGCTTCACCAGCATCCCTCATTCCCTGGGGACTTGCCTCTGTCTTGCCCTCTCCTGGAAGTCAGTTTCCTCACTCCTCCCAGTACTTCCACAGAGCAACTTAAGGGGCTGTCACCTTACGGGCTCCTCTTCCTGCAGGGCTGGGTCTCACCTCTGTGCATCTCTCCCTAAACTTAAACTCCTTGTGGGGGCAGGGGTCTCCTTGCCTGGGCTCCGCCTTGCAGACACAGACTTCCTCCTCTGAGAAAGGTTGGGGGGCGGGCTCCTGGCTCTTGTCCCCTCCCTTGTGGGGGAAGCGTCCATAGAGCCCCCAGGCCTTGGCAGAGATGAGTCATCCGTCTCCTTTTGCGGCTGCCTCCTCTCTGAGTTGGGTTAACTCTCAGACTTACTCAGCCCCATTTTCACACTATTTAACTGAAGATCTGGCACAAAGAGGGAAAGAATCCTGACTTCCTCTTCCAGGAAGCCCTATTCCTCTGTTCCCCACTTGTCAAGAGGGGCTGGACCCCAGGGATGTGAGAGCCCAGGACCAGCACTCCCAGGCCACGTGCCCTTGGACCAGTAGTTTCCCTGCTCTCAGCTCAAGTTTCCTCCTTCAGATGGAAAGAACAGAAATGTGCAGGAGACTTGTAGCACCTCCCAGGGCTGGGTGCAGAGTAGTTCAGCCCCATTTCTGCCTAATCTAGCTGTGTGCCCTGTGGCCAGTGACTTAAGCTCTCTGAGCCTCACTTTCTTCATCTGAATGAGAAGATCATAAATCCTTGCCTCCTAAGACAGACAGAATAGCACCCAGGATTGGGAATAGCCTCTGGATCCTCAATGTCCCTGCCTCAGCCCCAGATCTGCCTCTCTCCAGATGTATGGCCACAGTCAAACTACAGAGTCTCCCTGGGCCTGAGATTGCACATGTCATTGGGGTGACAAGACCTCTTCCCTCACAGGGGAGATAAGAGAGTAAGATGAGAAAAAATAATTCCCAACCATTCAGCAAAGAAAAATAGTAATTAAGTAATTACTATTTTTCAGGCATAGCCTAGGCCATAATGACTTTAAAGGTCAAAACACACTTGCTTCTTGCCTTTAGGTGGTTTATAGTCTACTATAGTTCAGGGAAAACAGACAGTGAACAAATAAATAGTCAAAAAAACGAACAGTTCAATTTGTGCTACGTGCTATTATAGAAATAAAAATGAGTGCTAAAATGGAGAATAGTGAGGTGGCAGGAGAAAGGCAACCAGACCCCAAAGGAGAAAAAGGAATTGTCATACACAGAAGTAGAAGAATAACTTTCTGTGTAGAGGAACCACAACAGTAACAGCACACTCAGCGTGAGTACAGTAGACTGAATAAGGGTTGAAACCAAATTAATAGAGTATAGGCAGGAACTAGATGATGAAAGACTTGAAAGGATAGTATAAGAAATTAAAAATATAAGTGAATTGTAAAGCCATTGAAAAACTTCTCAGAAAGGGGCAGTGTAGCTGAGTTTTAGAAGACTATGATGATTTCCATGAGGATACTAGTTCAGAAGGAAATGAGAGTGGAAGCAGGAAGAGCATTTAGGCTATGCTGTCACTAGACTAGAAAGAGCCCCTGGTGGGGAATCTGGATGGTAGAAACAGAGGGGACTGAATGGTTCCAAGATGTGTTGAGGAAGCTGAGATGGACCCATTTACTGATGGATTTCATCTGGGAGTTGAGGGAGAGAGAAGCAGCAAGTTGACCCTCTAGAATTCTTGTTTGAGAAACTGGGTGCTATTTCCTGGAGTGGAGAAGACTGGATGAAAAAGAGCTCAGGAGTTTCAAATAAGACAGGTGATCTGATATGCCAAGGAGGTGCCAAGTACTGAGACATCTGTCTCTCTGGGCTCCTTTCCTGTCTAATCTTGGGTAAGTTACTCAACCTCTCTGTTCCTCCATTTCCTATCTGCAAAATGAAGATAGTAACACATACTTCATTGGGTCACTATGGACAGTAAATGAACTTAAAATAGTGCCTGGCACATGGTAGCACCTATAAAAGTCTCAGTTGCTGATTTATTACCATCCTTTTCATCTTTGTTTTCATTTTTATCAGTAGCATCACCATCACCTATATCTAGAAGAGAGGTTGAGCTAGAGATATAAGTTGGGAGTTCAAGAGATCACATTTTTGGCCATAGAACTAATAGGATTATCGGTAGGGAGAAGGTACATAAGAAGGTTGTTTGGAGCCCTAGTTACAAGTGAGTTGCAAGTGAGGGACAGAAAAGAAGCACAAAATATTGCCAGAGAAGTAGGAGGTAAATCGTGCACCAAGGAAATCAGAACAGTGTTAAGAGAAGGCCTGTGTGGTCAAGTGCTATCAAATGCTATTGAGTGACTAAGACTCAGGAGTGACCATTAGATTAGTAGTGTGGTCACTGGTGCCTCGAAGAAAAGCTTCAGTGAGGTGCTGAGGGCTAGAGGGGCACTGGACCGGACATGAATAAGTAGAGGCTATGTTTTTGAGAAGTTTTGTTGTGAAAGGGAGCAAGAAGTGGGCTGGTGGCTACAGGAAACTTGAAGACTCAAGGGAGTATTCTTTTTAGGGTGACTGAATCTGGAGGTGGTTTGGAAACTGTTGGGAATGTTACAGTAGAGAGGGAGAGATTGGACTTGCAGATGGGAGAGGGAGAGTGACTCTTTTCAAAAAGATGACAATAGATGAGATCATGGTGACGTGAAGGTGTGGTCTTTGATGGGAGCAGGGATATTTGCTCTCTGAAAAAAGTGGACAAAGAGGTAGGTAGATGGAGGTTTTAGTGGTAGGAAAGTCAGAGAGTATTTGTCTGATAAGCAAAGTCAAAGAAATGTTGCCACTGTGCCCTCTCTTACATGGAATTATGATTTCTGGAGAATCTGAATTGGCTACTAAGATTCAAAGAATGTTGCTGTACTATATGATATCTGCATTAACATTGTCTTAGTTTGTGCTGCTATACCAAAAATATAAGAGACCAATTGACTTAAAGAGAAATTTACTTCTCAGAGTTCTGGATACTGGGAAATCCAAGTTCAAGATGGTGGCCAGTCAGTTTCTGACGAGGTCTCTCTTCCCAATTGTATCTTCATGTGGTAGAGAGAGAATGAGGAAGCAACCTTTCACTCTGTCTTCTTAGGAGAACACTACTCCCACATGAGGGCTCTACTCCCATGACCCAGTTACCTCCCAAAGGCCTCATCCCCAAATACAGATGCCTCATGACTTATGATAGGGTTATAATAAACCCATTATAAGTAGAAAATATAATAAGTTGAAAATGCATTTTATACACTTACGCTGTCAAACACAGCTTAGCCACACAGTTTGAGGTGTGCTTTAAAAAATACAGTATATATTTAAAGCTTTTATTACAGTAAAACATACATTGTCATTAATCCCCCTCAAAATATGCCCCCTTGCTTCAAGAACACTTACTTCATCATTCATTCCACTTTCTGGAGCAGTTCTGAAAGTCCTCTTTCATGAGTGTCTTTAGTTGCGTTGTCCTGGCTGCCTCAGTGTCCTGAATGAATTCAAAATGTTTGTCTTTCATATTCATTTTGACTTTGAGGAAGAGCCAGCAACCACACAGTGCCAGATCACGTGAATAAGGTGGATGAGGACACACTGTACTGTTTTTAAAGGCCTGCCTTTCCATTAGATGACACTCAACATTCAGCAGTAACATTCACTATATTTTTTAATCACACTTCATAAAAACATTCACAGAGGGCTTCTAGAACTACTTCAGAAAGTGACAAGGACTAAGGGATAAGTGTGTTTAAAGTGAGGGTAAGTATTTTGAGGGAGATAATGGCAACGTGTCTTTTACCGCAATAATTTTCTTAATCTAAACAGTCCAAATTTTGATTCTGTGGCTGAGTAGGAGCTATAACTCCCTGCCATAGCCCAGCATTGCAAGCGAGCTTCACACCACATATAGTGAGTCCAGAGTTCAGACAAAATTGAGTACAGTTTTTACTGAATACAAATCACTCTTGTAACACTATAAAAATCAAAAGATTGTAAGTCAAACTGTCATGAAGTTGGGAATTGTCTGCTCTATCACTTTGGGGATTAGGTTCCATCCTTTGAGTTTGGTAGGGACATAGATATTGGGTCCACAGCAAGTGTGCAGAAGTGAACTTTGGATGAGTGAAGATTGACCATGCTGCCTTTTGTATCAGGGGAGATGGCCACATTGATTGCCCATTTCCCAAGCCCCCAAACTAAGTCACTAATTAAATTATCACAGTGAAGCAGCTAAGTCAGTGAAAACTGGAAGCAAAGGAGGGAAACAGCTTTAAGATGAGCTCTTCTGGAATAGAGTGGTGAGGTCATCATATCTTTTCCACCCCACCCACCCCCCACCATGGCACTTGGGCTTGAAGCCAGGGCCTTCACACTGACACATCCACAACCCTTTTTTCATTTTTTATGTTGAGACTGGGTCTCACTAAGTCATTAAATTGCTAGGCTCCAACTCCCAGCCCTCCTGCGTCAACCTCGCAAGAGTGCTGAGATTACAGGCATATGCCACCATACCAGGTTAATCTTTTCAGTTCTTGTTCTTTTTGCCCACAGCTTTATGTCATCAATAATTTCCCATATTAACAAATAAACAGAATGATACATATAAATATATTTATTTAAATATTCACATACGCTTGGCTCATAAATCTGGAACATTGCCCTTTAGAGAAGTAAACAAATCATTTTCTTTTTCTAATTTAGACTTCAGATGACCTTGAACATGAAAACAACAAAAAGGTAACAAAACAATTCTCTTGAGGATTTTGCTTTCATTAGGAGACACCCTATGTGGCCCTCCGAAATCAAACATTTTGTACCAAGTGTTATTGTCACTCTATTCCCCGCCCGCAGTGGGACATCAGGCTTAGTGCTTAGGTAGTATGTTTGCATACTTGATTCACCTGATTGCATGTAAGTATTCAAAGGAAAGGATTAATCACAGTGATAAAACAATTAAATCCTGATGAAAGCACAAAAATAGAGCAGGTGAAAAATGTTAAAATATCTAATGCACTAAGGCATTTTCTTGCTTGGAATTAGAGATTGTAGCCCTAGCACAGGGCTACATAATCATCCATATATTGAGTTTGAAATTTAAAATGACCTAATAGGTCATTAGATCCTTATTATGTGAAATAGAAAGGTGATCTTGGTTCTGACACACTGGCATCGTGAAAGAGATCGTTAATTAACTTTACACTGCTTACCTTCAGGGTTTTTCTTTTTATTTGTTAGACATTAGTCTTGTAATTCTTTACAAGGTAAAGTTACCTTTTCACTTTCTTTTATCCTCTTTAAAGTTCTTCAGGATGATCACAGTGTCCTAGATAAATGTGTATGGTTCATTGTTCACTGGTGAGACTGACCAGTCTCTAGCAGAAATGTGCCTTTTCCTTGGAGTCTTATGCTTCAGAAAATATGGGAAGGGAAGTAAAATGGATCAAGATGTGATAAGTGTATGTACCAACTCCCCACAATGAATGTATTTGTTATGTGTTGCAAACAGGTTAATAAAAAAGGGGGAAAAGAAGGAAAATACAGCCTTCTGTCAAGGGAGCCTTAATCATATTTGGAGTGAGACTCAATCTTCTTACTATCTGAATGTTCAATTCAAAGGAATTATGGATAAATCTGACCGCTTCCTCTCTCAAAATATTTATTAAAACGTTCTTCTCATGGACTAGAATTTCATAATTAGTGGAGCCACAGTGTACAGCCTGACTGACCCTGCTCATTGCTATCTGTTTGAACCCTTGCAGCTGAGGCTTCTCATGTGATGAGTGGGTAGTGCTGTGACCCTCACATCCGGACAGTGATATGGTTGCTCATGCAGCGGTGTGTCTTGGTGCCCAGCACCTAGCGCTGGTGTTTTTTATTATATCCTTCAATACCTAAGAAGGAACAGAAGTGCTCCCTGCCCTTGTTTGAGGGTAGGTGGTGGGGGTTGGGACATACAAAGAAAATGATAACAACAAAACCAAGTTACATGACTTGGTTATTTATCTTATGTTTTCATTGATGAAATCAGTGTGATTGTTTAGAACACTCAGAATATTAAGTCATCAAAGTAAAACAAATGTCTGCCCATTTGTTCGCTTGAGGGTTGCCTGATGTGACTAAGCAATTTATTCACTTAGTTTCAATTTGTGCAGGAAATGGAGCTTTCCGAAGTTCTCAAAGATATATTCTGAAGATCTTGTTTTGTTGCTGTAGTTGTTGTTGTAGGTTTTGTTAATTTTGCTCTGATTTCTCAAGAAATCAGTAAAATCATGTGTTGTTTCCTCCATCCAAAGTAACACAGTTTCCAGATGGTCTGTGTAGCAAGTGATCAGATTATTTTAAGAATAAGTGCTTTAAAAAAATGCCGAAAGTCACTATTTTTGGTTTTCTTTGTTTGTTTGTTTTGTTTTTGGCACAGGGTCTGGCTATGCACTTCAGGCTGTCCTTGAACTCATTATGTAGCTCAAGCTGGCCTCAAACTTGCAGTGATCCTCCTGCCTCACCCTCCCAAGAGCTGGGATTATGGTCCTGTACCACCACACCTGGCTTCCACAAACCACCATATATGTGGCTGAAATTCTAGAGCAGTGGTCCTAGAAAGTGTGGTCCCCAGCCCAGCCCATCATTGGCACCTGAGAACTACATATACAGCTACAAATATGAGGACCTCATCCAGACCCATTTTAGCAGAAAATCCAAGGGCAGGACACAGGGATCTTCTTTTAGGGGGAGGGAGGGATGCTGGGGATTGAACTGAGGGCTTTTGCACTGAGCTATAGCCCAGCCCCCCCTTTTGAGAGGGTCTCCCTAAGTTGCTAAGTCGCCCAGACTTGGCTCAAATTTATGACCCTCCTGCCTCAGCGCCCCACAGTGCTGTAATTATATGCATACATCACGATGTGTGGCTCTCAGAAATATTTTAACATACCCTCCTGGTGATTCTGATGCACACTGAAACTTGAGGGTCACTGTTTTTAATTACTTGCCTCAACTTGTGAAATGTGAATGCTTGTATTACTTTATGTGTCTCATAGCATTGCTGTGAGGCCCCAGTATAGTTTCCTCAGCATTTTAAAGTCTATTGGAAATCTAACAATGTCCTAAACATGTAAGATAAGCTGAATATTTTCTGATTACCTCCTCTTGCTTCAATTGGAGCTATCATAGACATTAAGTTTTAAAATTTTCTTTCAGCATAATTGAGGCATGAAAAGGTCTTTTATCTTCGAATCAGTGTGTGTGCAAATTATCCTTAGTAAGGAAGTCTGAAGCTTGAGTCCTCTTGAAGCCCTTAGCTCATCTGTCCTCTGCCTTGTGCTCCCAGGGCCTGGTTACTGTGGAAGACGAGCAGGCATGGATGGCGTCCTATAAATACGTAGGTGCTACCACTAATATCCATCCGTATTTATCCACAATGATCAACTACGCACAGCCCGTAAAGTTTCAAGGTTTCCATGTGGCAGAAGGTAACACCAAAGGTTAAATGCAGTCGTCTTTTTTGTCTGCTTCTCTTTTGCTATACTGCTGAGCTCTGATCTGACTTGTTGCCGTTTTTCCTTGTAGGCGTGAGGATCATTCCACCTAGTTTCATTTTTAAATTATATTTATGCATAATCATTGTGTAGATTAATGGTTTTCACTGTGGCATTTCCGTGCCTGTATATATGGTGCTTTGATCATGCTGACTCTCCTTCTCCTTCTCTGAACCTCCACTTTATTTTTGATTCATAAACTTTACAGCCACAGGACCTTGGCATCCAGTGGGATTGTGTTGTCATTTTCCATATTGTCCACACGGTGGCGCTGAGAGGCTGTGGACTCAGCCTTTTGCGCTTCACAGCTTTCAGATTTTTTTTCTTTTCCAAAAATTAATTTGTTTTTTGATTACCACATACTTGTGCATGTTTATGAGATATACTGTAATATGATGTTGGGAATCACGCATACGTTTGGCAATTAGTGGTTACCAGAGACCTAGGAGTGTAGGGCTAGAGCGAGAGAAGGAGGTGGGTCAGTGGGGGCAATGTTACAGTGAAGTGGGAGCAGTGAGCCCTGGTGTTCTATGACACAAAAGTTCCTTTGGACCAGAAGTCGGTCTCTAAAAATATAAGAAGTATTTTAAGAGTTTTCAAAATCTTTTCTGTGCTGGAGAGATCATCGTCAAATTCATACTTCATGATTGGCTGTAGCAATCAGAGTGCACGTAATTTGTTCGAGGACTCCAGTTTAATTCAGCACACTGATTATTTTAAGTCAGCTGTCTCTATCTATAGGATGTTAGTGAAACTAGGAGCGACTAACATGACCCGGAAACACTAGCCACTAATGCCTTGTGATTCCAGATGTAATTATATTTATTGCCTGCCCTTCTGGGAGGATTTGGTGGCGGGATTTCTGAGTGCATCTTTGGTTTTCTCTTGCAGAACGGAATATTCATTATAACATGTCATCTTTTAATGAATCAGTCGGTCTTGGCTACTTGAAGACACATGCAATTGAATTTGTAAAGTATCCTTATGCATTAAGTAGAACGAGACATTGGTGCAATTTGGCTTGGCAGGAATCTGAAATAGATCAGTGGCTAATACATAATATTGGTCGTAGAGGTAATAAAATAATATATGTGAAAGACCACGGCAGCGGTACCAGTCTTCCCAGATGTGCATTGTTTATAGAATTCACAGGGTGAACTGTGATTTTTCTCCTAAGCATCAATGATAAATGTGAAATTTGTTCTGTGTTGTCTACATATTTGTCATTGTTGGCCTACACCTCTGTTATTTTACTTCTTTGTTGCTTATTTATCTCAGCTGTGGTACTCTTCTTTTTGTTTTTCCTGATTTCCTTAATAAGTTACACAGTTATAACAAACGGCAAATGAGTCGCATTTACCCCAAGGGAGGCCGAGTTGATTCCAGTAATTACATGCCTCAAATTTTCTGGAATGCTGGCTGCCAGATGGTTTCCCTGAACTATCAAACCCCAGGTAGGAGCCGATGTCCAGTGACCCTGAATTTCATGAGAACTCTTGGACAGGGTGGTGCTGGCAGCTCCCATCAGTTGGCTTTAGGCATCTTTTTAAAAAGAAAGCAGACATATGGCTAGCAAAACGTTGCATTTATGTGATGGTGATAAATAAAAATCCCAAAATAGAGCAATAAAACAGTGGTAGAAGATAATACATCTTGATGTAAGTTAAAGTTCCGTTCATAAATGCCATGACTAGTCTACTAAACATTACCTCCTATTCCAAAGTAGTCCTAAGTTTTCTTCTTTTTGGATCCAACTTATTATCTTTCTTTCCAGATGTAGAATTGAGTGAGAAGTATTTGAGCATCTTTGTATAATATCTATGACTTATTCCTCCTTTGGAAATTGCCCAGGCCAGAGTGAACATTCAGCAAATATCAATGACATAGTAGCACCTCATTATAAAAGGAGAGAATATTATCCAGTAAGGTCCCCTAAAATGGCCTGTGAGGAGTTATATTGTTTTTGAGGTAATAATCTATAAGTTGATCCTCCAAAGTATACTCCGAGACAGGTTTCCAATGTATAATTTTTTTTCTTAGAAAGACCAGTAAATTTTTATTGATGCATAACCAAGCTTTTAAAAGTTTTCAACATTTGTTTAAGAGCCTTAGACCACAATAGTTAGATTAGAGATAGCAAAATAGAATAGATAGAAATATGTCACATGAACTTTTTACTTTATGTGATTAATTTTACATCATGGTTCTTAAAATTGGTAACACAAAACCCAAAAACAAACAAAAAAACCCCTTTTTTCTTCTTCAGTTCTTTGAAATATGAATGTACCTCCCATATTTCCCAATTTGGGGGCCTACTCCTTTTCTAGGGCATCGACCATAGTATGGGAATCCCCATCCATCCCATTCACTGTTATCTAAAAGCCTTTGACTATTATCCCTTAGGCTTGAGCATCAGCTGACTTTAGGTCCCACCTCTTGGGGAGCCTTCTTCCTGACCAGAAGCTCCCCCTACAGGGTCACTATTGTGCATGGTGTCCCACAGTGCTGGCTACATTAGATGTGACCAGGTACCAGTACATCCCAAGTGTTTCTAACAACACAACAAAAAGTGCTGTTTTTACTTATGGAGGGATCCAGTTATGTTCTTAGTTGTCGGTGAATCTATCATAGGAATGACAGGATCCTAAAGCCATTTAATCACTAGGGAAGCTTGTATTTTATTTTAGAATGTCAAGATTAACCACATTTTGAAGAAGAAAAAAAATCCATCTGTTTACCCATTTATTTTGCTGATGAGAAGAAAGAAAAATTTTAGCCACCTGCAAGAGAAAAGTTGTAAGTCAGGCCTAGCCAGTGTCGACTCCACTAGAAGGTTCCCCTAAGTCTCACACTGGGAATAAGTCACCAGTTCTTTTATGATCCTTACCTCATTCATTTGTAAGTCTTTTGGAGTTTTGTGGGTATCTCCAGCAAAGGCATATACATACTCTTCTAAGGCTAGCAGAGTCTCTACCCTCAACATTAAATGAACAGTCATGACTTGTATATTGAATCTACTCTTTAAAGCAATTCTAGGATGATATTTATGAAAGCACATTTTAATTTAATTTAAATTAAACACGAGGTCATTTCTACATGGAAGAGAATCTTGTAGTGTTAAAGGAGGACCTTTGGGCCGAGTAACAATCTCATTTCCATTGTTTAAAATCACCCTGTCTGGGTCTTCTTTGTTCAGGAAGATGATATGCTGAATTATTTTTGTCTTTTGACAGATTTAGCGATGCAATTGAATCAGGGAAAATTTGAGTATAATGGATCATGCGGGTGAGTAATGTGATTTAAACTGTTGTCACCTAGTTTCGTCTCCATGCTACAGTGATAATGAAATTGTGTCATTTTTAATTAGGGGCTGCTGAATGTAAGCTGGGTTTGAGAGATGGGATAGAAATAAATAAAACCTCTAGAGAGACTATATTTGCAAATATACATTCTTCTTCTGCCCCATTTTTACCTAAACAGATTTTCTTTTCTTTTAACAAGTTAGCAGTCCATCATACACATGCTGTACTTTAATTGTCTCTTTATTTAATAGGAGAGGTTTTTATATCTAGGATAGGTAATGATACTTGCTCATTTGGACATTAACTGAAGACATAGATGTTAAATATGTCTATCTTTACTGACACCAAATATAGGAATGAAGTTTGTTTCATATAAAATGAAATTGTAAGTATCACACTGAATTTAATTTAGTTCAGTTGGGAATAAAACTTTCTCCTCTCTTGATTCTTTTCCATGATTTGTAAATAGCCATTATCAACAAATAATGCTATGAATGTTCTAGTTTATTTAAATACTTCTGTTAAAACCTGTGAGTCCAGAAGTGAAATAGGAAATATCAATTCCACTGAAATGCTGATAAGTCAAAGGAAAATGTAAAGTTAGAATTCTGTAGAGATTTAAACAAAAAACCTCTATGGCCATTTTTTCCCAAGTTTCTTCCCCAAGCAGCATATAAATAAATAACCCTAGACCACAGCCCAAAGCCGCTAGACTCATTCTGTAGAAGATTATAGTCAGGAGGCTTTTGAAGGTGGCTCACCTGATTGGTTACCTTAATTTTTATCACCCAAAACCACCAGTCAAAATACAGTTTTTTAGCAGTTGTGAGCTAGGAATGGCTCTTCAAAATGCACACTTTGTACCTCTGCCTACCTGACAGATGGTTCTCTGCCAGTGTGCCCATGCCCCCCACATGCAAGCAAGAGCCCTTTCTCCTCAGTCACCCACCAGGAACGTAGCTGGAGCATGTACTACCATTTCTTCTGTTGTGTGCTTTGAAAGAAATAAAAATTATGTAGTTTGGAAGAAAAGGGTAAGTACATATTAACCAATGGACTCTGCAGGATTCTTTCTCAAACTGGATTCTGCCAGGATAGAGAAGGAAGCCCGTGATTGGCTAAGTCAGAAAGGACTCGGGCCTGCCTAACACTTTGGTCAAAAGAGGGATCTTCTTCAGTCCCCCATTGCATTCTTCTTGTCTTTGAATACAACATACCTTCAGGGGCAGATGTAACTGATCATTGCTCTTGAGGACTGTTCAAAAGGGGAAATCACTCTCTAGGATCCTTAGGGCCCTCGACCTACCTCTAGCTGCTAAGTTACAGATGCTGACCAGGCTGTATTCAGATAGTGTCGGAGTCTTTATAAAGCTCCTTCTGTGCTTCTGTGCTACCAGGTATCTTCTCAAACCAGACTTCATGAGGAGGCCAGATAGAACATTTGATCCCTTCTCAGAAACCCCAGTGGACGGGGTCATTGCAGCCACGTGTTCAGTACAGGTGAGGCCTTTGCTCATCAGATTGTGCACACAAGTATGCAAGTGATCCTGGAAAGTGATGACTGCTCCGATGTTTAATGTCAGGTTGCAAGAGCTGTATGTTGTTTTCAGCTCTGTCTTAAAATTCCCCATTTTTTCTGAGACTTTTTTTTCACAGGTAAAACTATGAAAGACTTTGGAAATACTCTATCAAAAAGTATGTACTATATGATTGTTGCATATAAAGTTGTAGAAAAATGTAAATTAGTTCTGGTAAGTCAGTGATTGCCTCTGGACAGAGATGATTATAAAAGGGTCTAAAGAATCCCTTAGAGGTTATGGAAATGTTTATTATCTTAATGGCAGTGATGTTTCACAGATGTGTCAATGTGTCAAGACTGATTCAATTGTACAGCTTAAATATGTACAGTTTATTGTATGTCAATTTTATCTCAAAAAAAGGTATTTCAAAAATTATTAGCTGTTTGGTGTTGTAAAAAAAAAAACCTATTAGCTATAGTCATTTGGAAAATAAGTGAAAAATAGTTACTCTGTAGCTTTATAGTAGATAGAATTTAACACTGGTCTTTACAAAAAATACTGTTACCTGACTAATTTCAATATCAGCAAAGAAAAACAGGCAAGTTTTAACTTTGCTTTTCTATGTGTCCCTTCTCAATGTGTCCCTTTTAGAATTCAGTAATAAGTACAGCATGATAGAATTCCAGAACTATACAGGGATCTTACGTAATCTCAATCTTTCACTGTATTCTACAGATATGGACACTTTTAGGTGGGATGAAGACACACACTGTGGACACTTTATATTACTATGACTCATGTATTTGCTTCATTGTTTTAGACAGCTTTAGAAGGTAGTATTACAGAGAAATGTGACAGCCCAGCATTACAGCCAAGTGTTACAGCTCAGCATTACAGCCAAGTGCTACAGCTATCCAAAGGTCTCTGGAGTTAAAACTGAGGGCATTCAGAGAGATGGAGGGAATCTTTTATTACATGGGAGGGCCCAGAGGAGTTTGCACTCCAAAGTCTGAGCCCTGAACAGAAATGGGAGCAATTTATATAGAGAGTTCTATGGGGTAGGAGGGTTGGGTTCACGTGCCAGGCAAGCATGTTTACAGAAACGGAAGGGTGGAGTTAACAGAACATTTTGAAACATCAGGCAGGAACATCTTGCAGCTTGTACAGTTACATTTGCAGTTAAGACACTGGATCAGTTACATTACTTGAACCATTACATTTGTAGTGCAGGTAGCTTTAACAAAACATCTTATGATTCCTGGCAAAAACATCAAGGGGGAATTGGAAATAGACAAAGGGCTGCTATGTTGCACATTATTTCTTTATCAGTAGAACTCCTGACTAGAACTATTTTTGTCTTTACGTATAGTAGTTGCCCAATAATGTACTGGTTTGATAAGTATGGAATACAGTATTTTCATTGTTAATTGAAATCCCCCTCAGAGAAACCAAAATTTGTTATTTCCTGATTATTCTTTGCCAATGATACTTACACAGAGTTCACATTTGCTTCATTCTCTGTCTGTGTTACTACAGGTCATATCAGGGCAATTCTTATCAGATAAGAAAATTGGCACATATGTAGAAGTAGATATGTATGGATTGCCAACCGACACCATACGCAAGGAATTCCGAACTCGCATGGTCATGAACAATGGATTAAATCCAGTTTACAATGAAGAATCATTTGTATTTCGGAAGGTAGGACCTTATCAACCTGTCAAACCCACTCTAACTTAGTACATAGACATGACATGATACCAGAACAGTTATTCAACTCAATGACTTTTTATCCCTTTCTTCCAATGGACAAGTTCTGTACCTATCATAATTTTTTGGCCCTGTTCTGGCTTCTTATCCCCCTGGAGATACCCATCTTCCAGGTGGCACAAACTAGGCTATAGGATTGCAGCTACCACTTTGGATATCTCCTCCCAGGTAGACACCAGCATAGAAAAGTTCTTTTCTGCCCTGGAACTAACTGGCAACTTGCACCGCTTCTTTAGCCAAGAGGGCAAGAAATCTACTGCACTCAAAGGTGAGGTCCATAAATGTCATCACGTGGGTCAGCTGATGCACCTGTGTCCCTTTGAGAAGTGTGTCACCTGTTGCTACTCACTGGTTTTGTTCTTTGTGTACAGATTCAGTGTCTTACTTTGTTCTGCCAATACTGTTGGCTGGTCCCATGAATAAGCATAGTCGTCCCCTTTAACAGTCACTTTTAATCATTTTCCCTTTGTTTCTCTTGTCAATTTAAGAGACTTTGAAAAATCTACAAGTTGGCAGTCCTGTCTCCATGAATGCCCATTTTTCTTTATTTCCTGTTCTGTCATCTTGACCAAAATAATTTATTGCTTCTTCTTTAGGCCAGGTTTACCAGGTGGTTCTGCTCCATGCATATGTCATGCAACACAGATAATTGGCTTCTTGTCTTAATGAAATAGGGATTAGCCATTTCAGAATAGTGTAGATGACTTAAAGAAACCAAATTCAGGAAGATCAATGTAGAGTGAATAAAATAGGCCATTTTAAAATTTAGGTCCATGAATACCATGATCCATGCAAGGCTTATCATCACCCTCTCCACTCCTGTCAGAATATGGTGTAAGTTAATCATGATTTGTCTCTTTTGCTTCCTGATTTTTCCAATTTGTTGTACCTGGACCTATAGTTTGGTATAGTGTTCTTTGACAGAATGAATAATCCCTATAGACATTTCAGAATGTTGCAGTTCAGAAAGAAATTCAGAATGTTGAATCAAGCATTCTTTATTTTTGATACATAAAGAAATATCAAACTTGGGTTTTTTGTATAATAGTTCTGGGTCCAGAAACAAGACACCAATTCTGGTTCCTTCACTATTGTTGAAAATAACCTTTTACTGATATTGATTACTTTAGGTGTATCTTCTTTGTTGTTGTGTTTGTTTTTCTGCACTAATATCAGAAGGCAAGAGTGGCAAAGCCCAAACTACCTATTCACCACCTGAAGAACAGAAGTGAGGAAAGGTGGCTGGATTTTAATTAGACTTCTTTTCCTCTATGTGAGGTTGCAGTTAAATTATTACTTCCAGCTGCAAATGGGCAAGCAAGCATTGTCTAGCTTTAGACACAGTTCTCAGATCAGCCACCATTTCCTGGTTGCTTTCAGCCAATAAAAATGCATTCCTGATTAAACATACTGGATTTTCTTTTGTCATATTTCTACTTTGAATAGGTATTTTACCATTTGAACTCAAATATTATGTTGATTTATTTAATTAGGGCATGGCAAGAGTGGAAGTCTATTAATGTATATTAATATTTCAAAGTATATCAATGTTTCTTGAGATCAAATCATAGTGATATTTCTGATGAGGTTTTTATTAATATCCTCTTCTGTTTAATATTCCAAAATGTGTCAGGAACTTGTGAGTGCAAGAAATAAGGAAAATCCAAACTTATTTATAATTTTCTTTTATACATGAAGCATTTCTTCAAAGACACTTTTCTTATTATTAAAAACAGGTACAGCCAGATGTCATAAGCAGCCTGGGTAGTAGACTGATCACAGGTTTAGAAGTCAAGGACTCCGATTCCCAGGCCCTATTCTGTCACTGACAATCTCTGCGTTTAAGAAAATTATTCCATTTCTCACGGTCTCCTTTTTCTTACCCATAGCCTGGGTGGCAATGGGGGAAAGTGACAAGGGTTGAAGTCAAATTCTTTTTTGGGCGAGGCAGTATGTAGAAAGTGGCTTTATTATAGGGATGGCAGTGTTGGTTCAGCATTGGAAGATCCACCCACAAAAGTCATCATTTTAACAGAAGAAAGGAAAAAGCCATATGATCCTGTCACTAGTTGGAGAAAAAGTATTGGACTAAATTC